TTATATTTAAATGAGTTGGGCATAAGATAGTTAAAGGACCAGGTATAGTATGGCGAGTGATTTTAGACAATCATATTTTTATGAGTACTTTATGAGTTTAGATACAACTTTTCTCATTAACACAATATGTTATCGCTCAAGAAATTTCTCAAGGATAATAAAAATATCAATTAAAAAATTCAAATATTTATGAATAGCAACCCCATGTCAACATTTCTTTCAAAATATTGAAGTCATTTACTCACAAAGAGGATCTTCTCTTTTATTTTAATTGCATGAAAAGATTATTCAACAAGGGGTCTAAACCTCTTCATATGTAGAAATGTAAAGAAATTGAAATTAAATTTTGTAAACAGGCAAAGGAAATAATGTTCAGTTTTTTAAATAAATCTACTTGTATTGCAATAACATACTGTATGGAATTTCTTATTTACCCTTTTTCTAATCTAATTTTTAGTGGAGATGAAATGATAATTGAAATTGAAATTTAATCAGGAATTGAGATAAAATATGCCAAATATGTTATTAATTCATGAAACATAACAGTATAAACTTTGGATTCACAAAGTTGTATGGCATTTCATCTGTTCATAAGTGTAATAAGTTGCTTTTGAAGCATTTTTCTATAGCCATTTTGGAGGAAAAAATGATGAAAAAATGTTTAATCTTTTAATTTGAAGTGTGACCTGAATTGATTGCAAACTTCATATTTGCACATCTGATGTGATATACCATTTTTGTGATATTGTGAAATTGTTTAATTTGCAATTGATTCAGGTCATAGTGTATTTTAGGTATTTTTCGAAAATCAATAGAAACCAATGGCTTCAATTGGAATATAATGTTATCCATATGTTAAGTCAATGGAGCACATCCAATGTCAAGTATATTCACCCTTGCTGAACTTAATGACCTCAACCTCAGCCCATGTGGGTCCAAATGCTTAAATATTTTCCAAAGTATTATGTGACATTGCATTCTTTATGTTACATGTACACCTAAAAATTATTCATTTTGTTCATGGGGCAATCATAAAGGAGAGTGCACTAGACCCTTTATGTTGGTACACCTTTAGAATGGGCTTTTATTTAACAACATTAAAATTCATATTTGTATTAAGTGGCCTTGAATGAAAAATATGATTTTGAGATTGACCCCTCATATATAATATTGCACCCCACGACTTAATGGAAAGGTACAGTGAGTGCCTTTGTCAGCCAAGGTCACAATGACCTAGGCAGTGATAAACTATAACACAGCATGTTATGTGCAGTATATAGAAGTCCATGACTCCATGTACATGTATTAACCTCCTATAGACATGATAGAGACTAAAAGGGCTCTATACACTAGCCAACCCTTTCTGGCCGGCCAGTTATCTTCTCCCGGCCGGATATCCTGCTGGTATAGTAACAGTTCTTTGAAAAGGGATTGTAAATGCAGGAGAGAGTGGATTTTGCCTAAAAACTTGATAGAATGCAGTCAGAATTCGATTTCATCTATAGATGTCACGCCGTCCGGTCAAAACATACAAAGGTCAAACTGAGTTCAGAGTTTTAATGGCGGTAGGTTTGGAATCGTTTTTAACCACTCGATCATGTCTGTTTTCTCAACTTATATTTAATCGAATAAGTTATTTTATACAAGGGACATATGTATAGATATATATGCTCCGTCGAGGGTAGTAATCAATACTATATTTTACGTTTTTGCTTAGTAATTGCGACTTGAAACGGTGTTTTCAACAAAAAAGTTGAAAATCTGACAAAGTTCTGTTCGCCACGACAGACGTGCGTGATTGTTTCAATATTAGCAGCGTAGATCAGGCATCTTAAGCTCAACGATTCTGTGTAATTTCAGGAATTATGATCATATATTTTGCGTATTACAAGCAATTCAATTTTCGAAATGAGAGATCTCAGAAATTTCTTACGAAGAAAATTTTTGTTGAACGTCAGCGGATTAATATATCGTGACGTCACGGATTTTAATGCTAACAATGGACTTGAGGGGCTTGCTGCCCGGCTGGTACAGTCATGGATTTAATACTCTGATGACGGGTCCAAAGTTACATTTTTGACAGATAACAATTTTACATGAAATTTGATTAATGAGAATAAGGACGCTTTATAACCTTAGACTAGTGCACTAAAGTGCTTACTAAACCGATGACTCACAATTGATGTTATCAGATATATGTTGATAAATACTCTATAAATACAGTAGTCATGATTGAAATACATATCGTTTAAATTCAAATAAGGAATATTCCACTGAAATTCTAGTCTTTCTTACATCTGACTTCATGTGACAGCCCTTTATAAAGTTTGGATTGATACAATTTGTCATTTTCTATTAGTCATTTGCATGTCATATATATTCTAGTAAAAGAGCATGATTTAATAAATTTAATTTTTGTTGATGACACCAGAATTCAAAATGATTTTATTAGAGAACTTCTAATTTATGTCATGTTTGCGTACACATAATATTTAACTCTTAGGAAATCTTCATCTATTAATGAAAAAAAATGCTTCTTAATGGTATAACAGATTTGGTAAGAAAACTGAGGATAACTTGAAATGAAAACCAATAACAATTACATGTACCTTTGCATCCTCTAGAAATATTGTAGAAATATCAAATCCTCAGCATAGAAGTCCTATAGCCTACCCCAACAGCTATTTCAAAATAAAAGTGAAGAGGTGGTGAATTCGACCACTTTTGCCTGTTCTTCTCCAAAAGTAATCTAATCAAATTTGTGTGTCTTTTCTTAGTATTTTCACTGGAACTTTTACAACCTGTATCTAACACCTGCAGCGCCAGAACTGGTTTGGAACATTTCAGAACCTGGGCTCTGCACATTAACGCCTGATACTAGTAATAGGGCTCACTTATATTCTACATAGTGTGTGATAAAATCATCATCACACGTACCAAATATGATACAGGAAATATTCCAGGAAATTAAAAATTGTATCACCACGAAAGCGCAGCTTGAATGGGGATTTTTTTTTACTTTTTACTCAGTTTAAAAGTATCAATCATATTTTTCTCTCACACAGATGTGTTATGTCATTGATACAAAGTAGCTACTGGAATAAAAGTATCCATGTAATACATCCTAGTGCCTTACGGTAATGCCGGGTTGTCGGCAGCGGCAGTAGATACTCTCAATTGCCGGTAATAAAATCCATTGCCGATAATCGCCATGCTGCTGCAACATGATGATTGGCATTGCGATCCATTGTCAAATTTACGAAACAATGTTCGTTTAAGAATATTTTATCAATCATGTATATTTCAATCTCCACATTTGAAGAGCTAATCTGTCAATCAACTGCAAAGGATTCGTAAAAGGCGGGAGGATAAGCAAAACCCCACCCACTTCTGTCAATCATCTCCCATGCCGCGAGATTAACAAATCACATGACGTGATATTTCGGTGAAGTAAAAACAAAAACAAATAGTTTGATCAATTTTGATCGAATTCACTCTATATTATCATTCAAAGACTTCCTAACAATACACAATCACACACGAGATACACGATGATACAATATATCCACTGTAGTTGATGTGAGCGGGAAATCAAGCTGAGAAATCGGCTTCGTTAAGGATTTTTCGAAATATTTTAGTTTCACTTTCAGGTTTTTCCCCGGGATTTTAGGAACATTATCAGTATCAACGATTATCGGTAACGGTAAGGTAATGGAGGTGAAATTTACCGGCAGTGAGATCCATTACCGTTGCAAGCACTAATACATCCGTTGTCACTATGACATAAAATATGCCTTCATTCTTGCCCAAATATAGAGTCTCCCAAGGTCGGCCTTATTGGGAGAACTCAGGCATATTTCACGTCATAGTGACATAACCTCTAAATATAGATCTAGCCCCTGGGATCTAGCCTGAGCATTTACATAATTTAAAATGGGAGAGTATCCATACACCGCAACCGTAGATGTTTACATCACAAAGATTGGTGAAGATGCTTCAAGGAACCAATCAAAATATTTGAAACATTAGACTATTTCTTAGACCATCTTCTGTTGAGGTCCAAATATCGTTAGGCCTACAGTTGGGGACATAAATAAATGACAGGTGGATTTGCTGAAGTGAGGATTTCCCATGTTAAAAATAAGAGAATTAACAAGAGGCCATAAATCAGTGGATGAGATTATACAAAATGTAAAATATACAAATTTTAAGGGATATGTATCTAGACAATATTGGAAATTATGGGCTTTCAGACCACCATAATTAGGAAATGGTGATCGAAAATCGACCTGTCATTTATTTTTGTCCCCAACTGTACTCATTTGTAAAAGAGGGTAGATTCGGTGACAACGATGGGAAAATGGCTAACCAAAACCTATTAGCAAATTACAGCAATAGTGGAATCTGAATGAATTTATCTTCATATTCGATTTCAAAACAAACGATAACGATAGGCTAGCCAAATCTGAAAAGAAACTGTCCAAAAAAAGGCCCTGAAGAAGTTCCAACTTCTGTATGAACATGTGGATTGCTAGCAATGTATTGTGCATCAAATTGAAGATAATTGATATGCCTTTCATGATTTCATACAATATAAGACGAAATAAAACCAATTTACCTTTGATTTCTACGAAGAATTAGCAGGTGGGGAATTTTTCAGTCTCAATTCCTCAGAAGTTTAGGAGTCTCGCCGAATCTCGTCCAGTGCGTCCCACTCTATTTTCCACTTTGTAGCTTATGGCAGTTGTATCAAATTAGAGTGACCAACATATCCATTGTATAGTTATATATCAAGTAGTTTAAACACGCTCTTAGTTTGGATAAAAGTAATATAAATTTAGGAAAGCCGAAAAAAACAAAGTCAAAACTAAAATTTCCCCTGGAGATAATACGAGAGTTAGATGGTGTCTCATTTCATGTCTCATAAGATAATTTTAATTTTACCAGTAACAATATCATCGTTGCTTTAAATATCTAAATGTTAATTATACTAATTATTCATAAATTAAGTATATTTGAATCAGAAATGTATTGCGAAACGTCCTCAAATCATCATTTAATGCATCAATTCAAAGTTCACAACTCGGAGTTAAAAACTATGACTGTAGGGCAAGGCTTATTAGACACCAATATTTCACTAGAGGCAATCTGCGCGAGATTCCATTTTTTGGTTCGGTTTTTGGCGCATGCGCATTAAATCCAGCAATTTAATTGGTTAAAATTATTATCACGCATGCGCAATTAATAGCTGAAAAAGAACATTTAATTTGAGATAGGTGTCACTTACGTTCATTATTTCACAGCAGTCCCTACCCATGATGCACCATATAGTGCGGGAATATTTTTGTTTAGTGTCAAAATAAAAAGTATACACCCAAAACAAATGTAATGACATAATATCAACCTGCCCCGGATTTGTAGACGTGTGTTGTACAAACTTAAACCGAACCGATGGCAGAAAAGCACTTTGAATCATGGGAATGAAGTACTTCCTTTAATGAAAAACCGAACCAAGTAAAAACCGAATCTCGCGCAGATTGCCCCGACTCCAATATTTTGATGAACAGCTGAGCCCAAAAGAGGCGTATAAGGTACTGTTTTGCATAATTTAAGTCCATGTAATGTTAGAAAATGATATCGTCAGTGTGTTTGCTGTTTGATTAACCATTCTTATGATTTACGAAACCGTTTTGTATCACGTAAAGTCCATTTCACTGCTTCAGTGCGTCAGTAGAACGGCAAAAATAAGAAATTGGGAGACCATTGTGCAATAATATATGGAAAAGTATATTCATAATATACATGAATGACATTTGTATATATCAGATTTTTTAGTTTTTTGTGCAATAAGCCTGTGCCGTCTTGTAATTTGAAGAATTTCAGGCATGTTAATCTTATTGAAAATAACATGGCAGAGAAGCATCCAAATATAAGAGGCCACACACTTTCTAAGCCAAACTAGAAGCAATCCAAGATATACAAATGTCATTCATGTTCAATAGGAATATATTTTTCCATATATTATTGCAAAATGATATTTTGATTTCTTATTTTATAGCTTTTACTGACGCACTTTAACAGTGAAATGGACTCTAGTTCCAGACAAAACAAAAATTTGACTGAAGACTCAGTTTTGAAAAGTTTCAGAGGTTGGCCCCTGAGTTCCTTCCTGTTTTTTTTGTTATGAAGCCCCCCCCCCACGAGTGGGCGAAGCTCCTCATACTATGGATCGGGTTCGCACCATTCACGTGACTACCGGTCTTGTTAGCCTAGCATACAGTGGTGACCAAAAATAATTGATAAGTCATATATTTGGCATATTTTCTTGAATTTTAACATTTAGGGGAAATTGTCCTATCATCGCACAGGTACTCTGGAAATCTACTGACAGTTTCAAAAATGATTACTTCAACTTACTTTGAGGTTATGAAACGAAAAATCAACCTTTCTTCTAAAATTTAAATCATGTTTGACATTTACAATCTTCGAACGCTAACACTTTAAGACCCCTTAGACTCGCATCTGTGGTGGTCCTAATTATCGCATAGTCATCCTAATTATCGCACAGTTGTGTTTTGAGTGTTATTTCATGATAGTGGATACATTTCACTGTTAGGTACAGCTGGAAAATAACATTTTGGTAAAAATTGCTACCTGCACATGTTATTTTCTGGTACAAAATAATGTATGAAGGCATGTTTCAATTTCCTTGCTTTTTCAGGAAAGTATGATTACATTGTCTTTTAGAATATCTGGTAGGAGTTCAATGTTTTGTATTGTATTGTATATCTTTATTGCCCATAATAAAATGGAGATACAATTTATATTTACAGTGATGTAAAATAAAAGATAAAAGTACAAAATTATGACAAAATTATATACATATTAGACTATAAAAACTATTCAATGAGCAAAATGCTCGTACGGTTGAGTTAGGCACTGTAAGTGTCTCAAACACAGTCACTGTTAGACCGTGCTTTATATTGTTTGAAAATAATTTGTGATATCTCTTTTAAGAGAACAATTGCATTTGGATTTGGCACAACATTTATTCCAAGAATTGTATTGAACGAAAACTCGAAATTGTGCTTACTAAAACATTCCTTAAGTTCTTGCCTGTATATGGAGTATTGTGCAGCAGAGCAATGCATTAAGAAATGTTCAACCGTCTCTAACTGGAATGAGTTACAAAGTTTACATCGTTTACACTGATCTTCACCTCCTCTATTCTTATAGTTTAAGTTGTGCTCACCTACCAATAGTCTAAACATTAGTTTACAAGAGTCTGTTGCCCGCGGAAAATTTTGAGCAACGATCCACCATATATTAGGATCCAATGTAATACAAACATTTTTTCTAAAATCTGCAAGACTGCTGTACATGATTGACTGAATAGACGTTCTATAAATTTGGCTGTGTGAAATATTGGCGAAAACTAATCTTTTCCATTGGCCTTTACTTATCACAATATTACAATCTAACATATTCTGAATAATCTCTCTAAATCCAAACCTCATAGCACATTGCAACATTGATGCCATGGGTGAAAATATTTTGGTATTTTTAAACCCTTCATGTAAGAATTTTGTCAAACGTACTACAAGTAATCTTTTGTAAACATTCTTATATGATAACTGAATAAGACTCCACAAGAACATCATTCTTAAAAAATCTATATACAAGTCGATGTCTAACCACCCTAGGGTCACTGTAGAAATGGAATTGCTAGCAGATCTAGGCAAGGACTGGATCCTTCGCCCAATATCACGTTGTGTTTTATTAATAGTTTCAATGTCCTTCTGCTGATAATTCACAACTGGGGCAGCATAGGTCATACATGGAATTGAATAAGTTTTATACAGTTTAGATGCAGAAATTGGAGTTAAACCTCCACATTTATTTCCAATACCAAGTAATGAGTAAAATTGCTTTCTTCCCTTAGAACATTTTTCTTCTACATATGTTGAGACATCATTCTTGGAGGACAGAGGTACACCTACATGTACTTGATAATCTGATTTTTCAATTGCCTCACCTCCAATACTCAAACTGTGATTAACATGTAAGTTTTTATTGTCATTAAAGGTCATATATGCACATTTTTGTGGATGGACTTGGTACCTCCATTTGTTGCTATGATGTGTAAGATGATTTAGAAGGGTTTGCATTGACATATATGAGTTTGACAGAATACACATATCATCGGCGTAACATGGACACACACATTTGATATCTGCTACAGATGCACCGGTATGAACTTGCATCATAGTGTCAATTAAATCTGACATATACAATTGGTAAAAAAGCATAGAAAGAACCCCTCCCTGGTGTACTCCTTGTAATACAGGGAAGGTTTCAGAGCATATTTGGCCTACCATTACAGCACATTCATACATTTTATAGCTAAGGTACAATATTTTCCATAAATGGCCTCTAATACCGCAGTCGTACAGTTTAACCAGGAGACCATCTATCCACACTGTATCAAATGCCTTTTTAATATCACATATTGTAATAATTAACATTTGGCCTTGTTCAACATTGTGAGCTATCGTTTCTTGTACCAACAAGGAGGTATGAACACTCGAGCATTTTTCAATAGACGCACCTTGGAGAAATGGGATAGCCTTTACAATTGGAGTTTTAATACGTAATAAAATAATGTTATCAAACAGTTTGCGTAACATGGTCATTAAAGTAATGCCTCTCGAGTTATCTCTGTATAAGGGGTCTTTCCCCTTTTTATGGGAACTCCAGGAAATTCTGATATTTCACACTTTCTATTTTTCCAAATTTTCTTTCAAAGTTTCCAAACAACACAGGAGCTACCGTTGACCTGTTCCCAGGTTTACTAAATAAGACAATGTAATGATACTTTCCTGAAAAAGCAAGGACATATACACATGCCTTCATACTTAATTTTGTACCAGAAAAATAACATGTGCAGGTATAGCAATTTTTTACCAAACTGTTATTTTCCAGCTGAACCTTAATAGTAGATATATACGTCATATGCTATAATCATGTTTCTATCAGTTTTAGTGTAAAATATCAACAAAATCTACATAATTCATTTACTTTTCTGTCTTTATTTGGAGGGGGTCAAACTTTGTCAGAAGAATTTCACTTCTTGCGCAATCGCATTCATGACAATAGCGGAAGTAAATAATTTCAAACAAATGAAGAGATATTTCTAAATATATTAATAAATAATGAAGATTTGGAGTCATGTTGAGCTGGTGTTATGAACACTGGTTTAAAAGTTGTACGAAACATATTTTAGCTATTTAGGACAATCGTGCGATAATTAGGACAGTTCCCCTAATGTCCCAAACTCCCCCAAACTGCAGAAAAGTATACACCGTAAATCATATTTCCGAAAATGATTGTCCAAGGCTTCATACTAGCGTATGCATAATGCATTTGTCATGAGTTTCAAGAGCTGAAATTTCGCTAAAATGAAGTAAGGGTAATCTCCACCAGGACTGTTTAGCTGGTTAGCTTTAAATGGTTGAAGTGCTCAGAAGCAAATAATTCATATGTGCAAAATATTCCAATAATCTGATGATCTGATCACAAAAAGTCAATGGAAAATTAACCTCAAACTATAATAATACATGAGAACTTCAAAATGAGCGGTGCCATGCTTCCCTTTTTTGGTAATATTTCAAAAAGATTTAGAGTATGTGTTTTTAGGATTATCTTGAAGAAAAATCAATTTTGATTGATTAAAACGTGAAACACGTGATTAATCTCATTTAAAAGTAAACAAAAAAGACCAATAAGGAAAAGAGGTATCAAAATGTTCTTTTCGAGTGTTGCATTGTGGGTGATTATTCGAGAACACATTTCAATAATAGTATAATTTGTTGGGGAATGTTTCATTATTGCCATAATTATGATGAATTCCATTTTCTATTGAATTATCTCAACATACAACAAAATTAAGCAATACCGAGAAGTGGTCACTACCGGATCTCCTATTATATGGTACCAATTACTCAGATGCGAGTAGGTAGTTACCAGTTTCGCCACCAGGTGGCTGATTCGGGGGAAATAAAATTGCAGGGTATTACAAAATTCCTTTAAACTTGAATATTCATCAGTTTTAGTGGTCCACTTTTCATATTACCCTTATGTGTCTGATAGTTATACAAATTAAAATAAGTCCAGGGAAAGAAAATATTATCTGCCTAACATAAGAAAAGATATTTCACTTTTTGTGATTTTAAAACATGGGGTCTAAGGGGAATCTCCCCGACCTAGAAGTCACATTTTCAAAGAAAATAAAATTTTCAAAGTTGATAAACGCTTTTCTAAACCACATTTCTAGATAATTTTACATGTAGATTCCAAATATGACATCAGTTTGAATTTTTAATGACGTAAATCAAGATTATTTCTACTCGCATCTAGTCTATTGTGCAAATATAAGCCAGATATGATTTATAGATGCAAGTTGATGATACGTCTCGTAGTAGGTGAAGGTGTTGGGCGTTACTCAGAACCATATGTAAATAGAGTTTGTCAATTTTATCAAATATATGCAGCATATCGTAGAATAGAATAAATTTCAGCTAGAAAATTCATGGAAAATTTCAATTGACGATTCTCTGCCAGATTACACTCTGATCCATTGATTGGTCAATGTGACGTGCACCGGAAGAAATAACTTTTGTTTCAATTACAAGCATTCCTCTATTGATTCACATGTTATTTTCAAATAGGAATCACTCCATCCCCACATTGTCTCCATCTTCCAGTTTTGCACAAAGAGTGCACTAATGAACCTAGAAAAGACTGACGAGAAGATTTCTTTTGTGAAAATTGACAGGTCACTGAATTTTCTCGTTTTTTATACATTTTACAAAACAAATCTTCTCACTAGTTTTTTCTAGGCACCGAAGACTGGCTTTAAAACGGTTCCACTTCTACCCAATGATAAGGACAACTATTCCAAATTATAGGAAGTGTTTCTGAGGATCAGAGGGGCACCTCAGTAGGAAGAACAGCCTCTTGATATTAAGAGGGGTGCCTCAGTAGGTAGAAGAGCCTTAAATTGAAACAATGGCAGAACACCCAGAAGCATCCCGCCAAGATAGTGGTATTGGGAGCCCTGGACTTGCATCGCCTCATCAGAATGGACACCTTGCCTCAACAGAAGACCCAGGGTAAGTCCCACTTATCTTGTCCTAATCTCATTATATCACCACCAGAAGTGGTGAAATATTGGTATTTTTTGTGGACAGTGATTGGTGTCTGTAACAGCGACTGTAACAAATGGTGGTCTGTGTCTGGTATTTTTTTGTATTGTCACACCAATAATAATGAATAACATAATAATATTATGAGCGAGTCCTGGGAAACTCAAATGTTTATCACAAGTTTCATGGTACATGACATGTATTGATTGGTTGTTCATTATGCTTTGATTTCAATTTGTGGAGTCTTTAATTTCTACAATTTTATTAAAATACATGCAAACTGCTAACTGTATGACATATTCTCTTTTAACAATATGTCAATTTCAGTGACCATTTTGAGAAATAATGGCAGTCTTGTCTGATATTTGACAAGATGTTCAATGGTATTTTCTAAGCCATTATTTAGTCAATTCCCTACCCTTTGCATTCGTTCGACTTCACTTCTTAAAAGAGAGCTTCGTCTTCACTCTTTCAAACTAAAATAAACCTGTGAACTCACCGCGCCAATCAGTGTTCGTCGGCCAAATATGACCGACGTTCTATATATAGTCATTCCTTCTGACGACATCGTTGAGCCCGGAATTGACCAATGACATGCGCATATTTAATTAGAACGCATTTGGCGTATGTTTCTTCAAGCTCGCTGAATGGTGGAAGAAAGGCCTGCGCATAGGTCAGAAGTGATTTATTACCCAAACTGTCACCGGTACCCGTTGTGGGGGCTGCTATACTGTAATATGGTCTCTACTAGGCAGAGTGTAGTTTAACTAGACTCTGCACGCAGGGTATCAATTCCCAGTCCAGTCAATCTCAATTAGATAACCTGAATGAACCGCTCTACCTCAAAGAAAGTCCTGATTTTGGTTGAAAGATTTTATGTAGTGGTATTCATTACCTAGTATAGATAAATTTTTACATATACAATGTATTCTGTTGAATAAGAGATTAGTTTGGCAAAAATACAATGTATAATCTAAAATGCCTATTTGCATGACTTGAAATGCTGTTAATGCCAAACAAACACTTTCATGCAAATAGATTGTTCCGTGTATGACATGACTAGCTGGGTAAATGGAAACCTAAGATAACAGAGTGACTCAACCTCAGATAACTCTCATTATAGTGAAAGCAGGCTACATTGTACCATAGTAATTAAATCACACTAGAAAGCTTGAATATATAAGGACTCTTTCCAATAGTGATTTCACTTCTTTAAAAGAGAGCTTCGTCATGTTAATATGAGACTGTTTCTCAGGGTTGAATGAAGATTTATTTATTCTGACCTTTGGATAATTGGATATTTTGAATATACAGGAATAAAGCAATCAAGGAATTCAGTCTCACCCATACACATTTATTTGTAAGTATTAAAAAGCATAGTATTATCATCAATGACTGAAACTTACACTCATAAAACTGACTCTAGATTATGTAATATCTGAATCTATTTTTCATTGTGCATGCCAACATAACTTATGAATCTACAAGTTTGTTGTACAACACATTGAGTCTTATATTGAACACTTTGGAAAACTGTTAGGTGATCGTTTTAAGATTTATCCTAACCCCACAATAGAGCTGTAAAATAAGTCCCCTTGATCAGATATCCAGTTCATGTACATGTCTATGCCATAGGCACCATTCTGATTTATCACCATCTCTCTTTATCAACAGCTTGTTAGATAATGCCAGTCTATTCCAAGGGATACAGTACTGCCTGTGCACTGCCAGATTAGGGGGGGGGGTTGCATCAAGAAAATGGACCTCGCATTTTCAAAATTTGGTCCCAATTTTTAGTTTTACGGGAATTCTTTTTAGATCTGAACTTTCTCCCCCCCATCATGATATCATTTTTACAGGTTTAATTTAGGAAACCTATTATCTACTTTTGCAGTTACTTCGCCTGTCTCATTGCTAGCAATGCCTGTATTATAAGTTATAAGGACAACATTTTAATGAAGAATTATAGAGTGGTTGTAAAAATCTCTGGCCTATCTCTTGGAGATATTGATTTGTTGAAACTGAAACTGAAGTATATGAGATGTAAATTGGATTGTCAGAAATATGACATGACATGTTATAAATTGGGATGTTATCTGATTATTGGGATCAATATCCAGGACGAGGAACAGTTTCAAGTATTAACGTGAAGAGCAGTTATTTTGGATCTCTATAGACCTTTTGCTGAATTGCATTGTTATAGTCTCCAACCTTTTTGTGGTGGTGGTTGATGTTTGGTATTTGGCATTCAGTGGTTGGTGTTTGGTGTTTGTAACAAATAACAGGTGGTGACATTTTGTGTGCCTTGTTAAAATGATTGTTTATGATTTATCATAACGTGTGTGCTTCTTCCACATACATGTACATGTTATTTTGAAGTTGAACCATTACATGGGAAAGTGCCTTTTATACCACTTTACTTAACTAAGATATAGAGGTTCTTATATGAGTACCTGTGCAAGATCGTCCATTCTTGATGAGCTTTGATAATGTTTCTTTATCGAAACATTATCAAAGCGAGTCAAGAATGGACGATATTGCACAGGTACGAGTACAAGAAAGTTTTTCTCATATGACTCTGTATTATGCCATATTTTCACCATTTTATCATAAAACTGAGTGATAAATAGCTTCAAATTAATTGATCTTCATCTTTCAATTCTCCCTTACGCGATTCGCTCTTTGAATCAGAACGTTCGCAAATATGTACTGAAAAAGCACTCAAAAAGGACAAAATTTGATTGGTCAATATTTTCTCACTATGCATTTCGCGTAGCTATTTGCGTGACCCGAAAGTTCTAAATCAAACTAATTACGCAATTTTGTTTTTACACCTGCACGCTAAATAAAACAATGACAACATCGGAAGTATTCTTTTTGTCATTGCTTTAATTGTTAGTATACCGAGTTTAATCAATAAAAGATTGTACAATGAACAACAAAATTCGGAAACGAGTACTATAGATATGCTTTCGAACCACTGAACAGAGTGACCTAGATAATAGCGACGTTTCTTCTTTGGTCTACTGCTCAGGTTATTTGTTGGTTTTCAACGTAACTCTATGATGTAATTTGAAGATGAATACTTTTATTCAGTTGTTGCATCGATGTTGCAGTTTGTAGTGCGGTAAGATTGGCATGAAAGTATTGAAAGTCGAATGAAATTGTTTTTTCCAATATGGCGACTAGTCAACTGATCATGTGACCTTCTCTTCCGGAATATTTTCTCACTTTTCAATCATCGTTTTCACCACGCTATGAATCAATACAATGAAAAAATAGCTGTTATATTAAGATTAATAAGAGATCAATCGTTTCTAATAATTTTTTCTGTACCCTCGTACGGGAATATGAACGAATATATCGTTTGAAAAATAGGTGTGAAAATCCCCATGTTAAACCTATGAGGGAAAACAAGGAAGTATAAATTTGTTCCTCCGCGAACTGCATCATGGGAAATATTTTGACCTTATAAGGAAAGATTTTCGCGTCTCCTCGTTTGAAGAGGGAACAGCGATTTCGAGAATTGTTATGACGTCATAACAACATTGAAGAAAATACATAGATACATGTGGCAAAAAGCTCCATTGTTATGACGTCACAGCTTAGTTTTGTATAAGTAGCATGGATACTCATAGCAACGGTGTATCCGTTGCCATGTTGTTGATGTTTATAGACCAGTGATGTCACAAGTAAATCTCATCTTGCACGTGTGACTTTTAGGATGAAAGATGGCAATATCTTGCATGGGGTAAAGATGGCTGTATCTTTGTTAGTCATATGAGAAAGTAGTTTATTGTTTACAAACACAAACAATGATATACAGTATGGCAATGCCTTTAGGACATCACATTTACATATGTTATTACTTGTAAGAAAAATCGTGTACCAGTTCATGTATTTACATGATGTTAACACTTTTTGATGAGATAAAAAAAATAACAGAATAGAGACACAGATAATAATTTAAATAGCTCTTCGAGGTTTTCTAGGTCAGTACACTCATATTGGTTGGACACCCTATATTTCTAGTTCAGTATTCTAGTATTGATTGGACACCCTGTATATGAAGTCAGTATTCTTATATTAATTGGACACCCTATATTTCTAGGTCAGTATTGTTATATCGATTGGACACCCTGTATTTATAAGTCAGCACACTCATGCCAATATGTCACCCTGTATATTTTAGGTCAGTATAATCATATTGATTGGATACACTGTATTTCTAGGTCAGCTTACTTATATTTATGGACATCATGTTCTTCTAGTTTATTGAACATTCTGTTTTTCTAAGCCAGTATACACATACTTATTAGACGCCCTGTATTTAAATATCTTAGTCAGTGAACTCCTTGATTGGACACCCTGTATTTCTATATCTAAGTCAGAACACTCATATTGATTGGACACCCTGTATTTCTATATCTAAGTCAGTACACTCATTTTGATTAGACACCCTGTATTTGTATTTCTTAACACTCATATTGATTGGATACCCTGTATTTCTATATCTAAGTCAGAGCACACGTATTGATTGGATACCCTGTATTTCTATATCTAAGTCAATACACTCATATTGATTGGACACCCTGTATTTCTATATCTAAGTCAGAACACTCATATTGATTGGATATCCTGTATTTCTATATCTAAGTCAGAGCACTCATATTGATTGGACACCCTGTATTTCTATATCTAAGTCAAAACACTCATATTGATTGGATACCCTGTATTTCTATATCTAAGTCAGAGCACTCATATTGATTAGACACCCTGTATTTCTATATCTAAGTCAGTACACTCATTTTGATTAGACATCTTGTATTTCTATATCTAAGTCAGTACACTCATTTTGATTGGACACCCTGTATTTGTATTTCTTAGTCAGAATACTCATTGATTGGACACCCTGTATTTCTATATCTAAGTCAAAACACTCATATTGACTGGACACCCTGTATTTCTATATCTTAGTCAAAATACTCATATTGACTGGACACCCTGTATTTCTATATCTAAGTCAGTACACTCATTTTGATGGGACACCCTGTATTTCTATATCTAAGTCAAAACGCTCATATTGATTGGACACCCTGTATTTCTATATCTAAGTCAGAACACTCATATTGATTGGACACCCTGTATTTCTATATCTAAGTCAGTACACTCATTTTGATGGGACACCCTGTATTTCTATATCAAAGTGAGTACACTCATTTTGATTGGACACCCTGTATTTCTATATCTAAGTCAGTACACTCATTTTGATGGGACACTTCTATATCTAAGTCAGTACACTCATTTTGATTGGACACCCTGTATTTCTATATCTAAGTCAGTACACTCATTTTGATGGGACACCCTGTATATCTATATCTAAGTCAGTACACTCATTTTGATGGGACACCCTGTATTTCTATATCTAAGTGAGTACACTCATTTTGATTGGACACCCTGTATTTCTATATCTAAGTCAGTACACTCATTTTGATTGGACACCCTGTATTTCTATATCTAAGTCAGTACACTCATTTTGATTGGACACCCTGTATTTCTATATCTAAGTCAGTACACTTATTTTGATGGGACACCCTGTATTTCTATATCTAAGTCAAAACGCTCATATTGATTGGACACCCTGTATTTCTATATCTAAGTCAGAACACTCATATTGATTGGACACCCTGTATTTCTATATCTAAGTCAGTACACTCATTTTGATGGGACACCCTGTATTTCTATATCTAAGTCAGTACACTCATTTTGATTGGACACCCTGTATTTCTATATCTAAGTCAGTACACTCATTTTGATGGGACACCCTGTATTTCTATATCTAAGTCAGTACACTCATTTTGATTGGACACCCTGTATTTGTATTTCTTAGTCAGTATACTCATATTGATTGGACACCCTGTGTTTGTATTTCTAGGTCAGTCCACTCATTTTGATGGGACACCCTGTATTTCTATATCTAAGTCAGTACACTCATTTTGATTGGACACCCTGTATTTGTATTTCTTAGTCAGTATACTCATATTGATTGGACACCCTGTATTTGTATTTCTAGGTCAGTCCACTCATATTCTATGGAAGCCACTGATGTTGTGAACACGCGACTCAGTGACATGAAACTTGAGGAAGGAAACATGCGACGTAGAAGCGCCTCGATGCTGGAAGTTAAAGATAAAGCAAGTGTCAGAATACATGAGGAGCTTGACAAAGCACAAATGGTAAAATAACTCAACATGTATTTGATGTGTTTTGATTAATTAGGAGCCTATTGTTGAATTGAAATACGAGAATATATATTGTGAATTCTAATGTGGCTGTGTTTTCCACCTATCAACATTACAGTATCTCTTCCAAATGAAGATGGTAAAAAATGTAGAAAATTAAAGTGCTATAGAACTCTTGGAACCATAAGAAGTGTTCTACTTGGGAGGTGTTCTATTAACAGAGGTCCATTTAATTAAAGTCAGTGTGTCACAAAACTTCTACATGCATTCCACTTACAGAGGTGTATTCTGCTTATAAGTTTCAAAACATACACTACATTTTTTAAATTAATATTTTAAGGAATCAAAACTGAAAGATGAAGACAGAGGTCCATTAAATTAAAGTCAATGTGTCACAAAACTTAGAAACTTCTCCATGTATTCCGCTTATAAGTTTCAATACATTCACTACATTTTTTAAATTAATATTTAAGGAATTAAAGCTTAAAGATGAGGAGGTTGTTAAACTACAGCATGTTAGAGACCAGATGGGACTGGAGATTGAAGAACTCACTGCCAGTCTCTTTGAGGTAATACACTAAAATGAACTATGTGTGTCTTTTAGGTTCATATAATATATAATGAAAAAGTGTCATAGAGTAGAATAGTTCATCTTTGAGAGATATTCAAACTGAAAAGTTTTACTGCATATTCAATATCAAAATAATAGTGCATTCAATATCAAAATGATATTGCAGATTGGTCATCGTGAAAATTTACATTTGTATTTCTATTTTTACAAGCTGAGAAGAACATAACCATTTTAACAAGTATTATAAATTAAACCACTTGTTTTTTAGATTTATTTATTTTCCTCAAACTCTTAAAATTAGAAGTACTTTCTGTATGGATACTGCGATCAATGTTCTGTATTATTAAGCCTCAAGATTTAAGGATGTGTAAAAACAATGGATGTAACTATGTAGGATGATATCTAAATCAGAAATAACTTGATTCCAGGAAGCTAACAAAATGGTTCAAGATGCCAATGTAAAGAGGATGCATGCAGAGAAGCTGTTGAAGGAAGCACAAGCTAAGGTTAATATAGATATACTATTGGAACTTAATAGCTAGATATGTACATGTACATCATTCATCTCCTTAGTCTAGAGTCCATCAATGATAGATCTACATTGTTATTCAGAACTTAATAGCTAGATATGTACATGCACATCATTCATCTCCTTAGTCTAGAGTCCATCAATGATAGATCTACATTGTTATTCAGAACTTAATAGCTAGATATGTACATGTACATCATTCATCTCCATAGTGTAGAGTCCATCAATGATAGGTATACATTGTTTCTTAGAAATCGCATTTTAATACCTCACAAGTTTATAAAACTTTTACTTTAGAGTTGATAGTCCGGATCTACCATACAGTACTTAAAAAATAATGTAAGGTATATGTAGTCATTTTCTGAACGTAGAAATATGTAAAAGTACGATGTTTTATTGTGTATCAACTATCATAAGGGTTTTATGAAGTGATTTAGCTGGGTTGGACAAAAGGCAACTTTGGGGAAAAAATTATATATTCAAATGAAGGTGGCCATTATCTAAAACGGGATTTTCTTCAATATTCTGAAAACTAAGTACAGAAACATCACAATATTGGTATCTAACCCCAGGTTTTCAGGGTCAGGGAATAAGATGATATTACATAATCAAGATTAGAACAATTGAAGGATAGTGGGCGAGTGCACGTGGGTCGATTACAATTATAGCTTCATAGAGTCTCTTGAACCAATAATCACAAAATAAGATTTAAAATAGCAATAAATCAATTTATTTTCAGTATCAAAAATAGTAAGTGTAAAAATATGTTTTATCAATTATAAATTTTAAATCTGACTGACTGACAGGCAGTAAGGGCACACACAGTGCACACAGACAAACAGACAGGCAGACAGACAGGCCTGGAATAAGAAATATGAAATATTTTACATGTGTTCAACATTTATATAATAATAATTATGATTTATCGACCTAAAGAAGATTAGATCGACATATCATGTCATATTTCAATAACATATAATATTCTATCAATTAGATTGTATTTTATAACGTTTTATCACAGGCAAGAGAAATAGTTGTTTCATGATTCAATTTATTGCACTTGTAAAATGAATATATTTGTAAAATTGGGAAACATTGATGTAAAATTGACTGACAAACATTGTACTCTACATTCTACGACAAAATATAACTGATAATGAACAACACAATACGATACATAATTGAGAATAACAGTTTACAAAGTAACATCAAAAAATAACTTCCCAGACACTCAAAATAGCACGATTCATGGTGTATATCTTTTAGGAAATGGTTTATGGGGGTTTGAAATATAGAAATAAGATTGGGGATAAAATTTGAAAGATAGGATTGGCCTAAATAGTTATAGTTGAAAATTACTAGAAGAAATGCTTGTAATATGGGATTAAATATTGAATTATGGAAGTGTTGTATATAACCTGATAGGAAAGTAGAATAAACATAATCCCCCTCCTGTTAATAACACTTTTATAAAGATAAATGATTTAGTCGCTCACACACATAAAGCAAAAGACAATTAAGTGTATTCAGTTGTCTACATGTGTTTTATGACGAAATCAATAGTTGAGGTTGGTCCTCAAAATACACAAGAACGAATCAAAATTGAATTGCAATTAACTTTGTGCACCTTGGACGTAACCTGGGTTTGTGATAAGGTAAACAGTACCCAACTACAAATAAAGTGTTTTATGTCTTACCAAAAGAAATGACAAACTGAATTATCACTCCCTGACCTGGGCTGATTGTAGTTGGAGTGAAACAGCGGGTTGGTCCCTAGAATAAACAGTTTCTTTTAGAAATTTTGAACCAATTTGCAAAGTTTTGATATTCAAGCTATTCAGTTTGTGCAACAATTCGATATTTTGAAATAAAGCATCAAACATTTTGATTGTAATGATGTTCTAATTATGTTATTTATTTATCTATGGCGCTAAGGCTCAGTCAGAAGAACAAAATAAATAATTTTGATGAATTTTGAGAAATTTGAGCCGCCATATTGATTTTCTCACGTGGATATTATTTTGAAAACTCAAGTTTATGTCTTACAAAACTGCATTGAAATTATTACCAAGAAAGCTAAATCAAATGAATGTTTAGATATTATGAACTATCCTGCAAAACCCAGTGGACACATACCTTTCTATAATTGCAGCATATTGTCAAAGTAGCATCTCTTCGATATCAAAACGATTTATTTGTAAAATGTAAGTGACAAAGTTCAGAACAACTAATTCAATTTCAATGTTTCATTTATATAGAATTGTTCTGAGTGAAATCCTTCAGATTTGATTGGTTTATAAAGTTTCAGCTATTGCATCTTGTTTTTGAATTCACGAATAAGTGAGTTTTGTTACTAAATTTAGATGTAGTTCTCGTCATGAATTCCAATTTTGCCGCGAAACCAATTGTAGATACCCTCTGGCACGTATTGATTTGAACTCCTGACCTATCAACTGATCGATCGCGATGTAATATTATAATTAGGAGACCGCGAAATTAAATTTGCATTAAGAGACCGTGAATTTATATTTTAATTAAGAGATCGCGATATTATGTTTTAATAAAAAGATTATGGTCCTGTGACCATATATCACAATTATTTTATTATTTTGCAAAGTAAAGGCAGCCATTGTTGAAAAAGTGATTACCTTCAATATTTTGAAGACGAAGTATAGTAGTATCACAATATTGGTCCTTAAACCTAGGTTTTCAGGGTCAAAGAATAGAATAAATTGGGCCTTATCAGAAAAAGATTATTGATTACGATTATGCAAATTAGGGTGGCCATTATCGAATTATTGATTATCCCTAATATTTCGAAAACTAAGCACACAAAACTCACAATGCGGGTGTCTAAACCCAGTTTTTAGGGTCAAATAATAAGATAGATAATAAAATAACTTGAACAACAATAATGATTATGATTTTGCAAATTAAGGTGGCCTGGCGTGGCCATTATCAAATTATTGATTATCTTCAAAATGTCTGAGACTAAGGAAAGTAGCTTAACAAAACTGGTGTCTAAACCGTTTTCTGGGTCAAAGAATAAGATAAAATGATAATAAAAAGGATTAAATCAATAATCATTGTGATTATGCAAATTAGGGCAGCCATCGTTAAATTATCTCAGAAATATTCAAGACTACGAATAAAGTAAAATTACAATATACAATAGTTTTGTCTAAACTATTGTTATGTCACCACCAAAAGTGGTGACATATTGTTATGGTCTCCGTTTTTTGGCGACGGCGGTTGGCGGTTGGTGGTTGGCGTCCGGCGGTTGGCGTCCGGCGGTTGGCGTCTGTAACAATTTCTTACAACTTCCTATAACTTAACAAATACTGTTTAGACTGACTTCAATTTTTTACTAAATCATCTACATGTTCTCAGAAGTTCAAATCTGACTTTAGATTTGACATTTGACCTTCAATGACCTTCTCAAGGTCAAAAAGGTCTTTTTTCAACTTGCTTCACATTGACTAAATTTTTTTTCAAAATCATCTACATGTTCTCAGAAATTCAAATCTGACTTTAGATTTGACATTTGACCTTCAAATCTGACTTTAGATTTGACATTTGACCTTCAATGACCTTCTCAAGGTCAAAAAAGGTCAAAAAGGTCTGTTTTCAACTTGCATCAAATTGACAAAATTTTTTTTTCAAAATCATCTACGTGTTCTCAGAAATTCAAATCTGACTTAAGATTTGACATTTGACCTTCGATGACCTTCTCAAGGTCAAAAAAGGTCAAAAAGGTCTGTTTTAAACTTGCTTCAAATTGACTAAAATTTTTTTTCAAAATCATCTACGTGTTCTCAGAAATTCAAATCTGACTTTAGATTTGACTTAAGATTTGACATTTGACCTTCAATGACCTTCTCAAAGTCAAAAAAGGTCAAAAAGGTCTTTTTTCAACTTGCTTCAAATTGACTAAATTTTTTTTTCAAAATCATCTACATGTTCTCAGAAATTCAAATCTGACTTTAGATTTGACATTTGACCTTCAATGACCTTCTCAAGGTCAAAAAAGGTCAAAAAGGTCTGTTTTCAACATGCTTCAAATTGACTAAATTTTTTTTTCAAAATCATCTACGTGTTCTCAGAAATTCAAATCTGACTTAAGATTTGACTTAAGATTTGACATTTGACCTTCAATGACCTTCTCAAGGTCAAAAAATGTCAAAAAGGTCTGTTTTCAACTTGCTTCAAATTGACTAAATTTTTTTTTCAAAATCATCTACATGTTCTCAGAAATTCAAATCTGACTTTAGATTTGACATTTGACCTTCAATGACCTTCTCAATGTCAAAAAAGGTCAAAAAGGTATTTTTTCATCTTGCTTCAAATTGACTAAATTTTTTTTCAAAATCATCTACATGTTCTCAAAAATTCAAATATGACTTTAGATTTGACTTTAGATTTGACATTTGACCTTCAATGACCTTCTCAAGGTCAAAAAAGGTCAAAAAGGTCTTTTTTCAACTTGCTTCAAATTGACTAATTTTTTTTTTCAAAATCATCTACATGTTCTCAGAAATTCAAATCTGACTTTAGATTTGACATTTGACCTTTAATGACTTTCTCAAGGTCAAAAAAGGTCAAAAAGGTCTGTTTTCAACTTGCTTCAAATTGACCAAATTTTTTTTCAAAATCATCTACATCTTTTCAGAAGTTCAAATTTGACTTTACAAGTTCTCAGAAATTCAAATCTGACTTAAGTTTGAACTCATAATATTGTGAGCAACTAGGTGGTGACATTTTGTCATGTTAATGCCTTGTATATAATTATAATACTATTATACTATAAAAAGTTATTTTTGGCAACCAACTTATATCACGAAGGGAAACCCTCAATTAGTGAGTACTTTCAATTGCACTGTAAACCTGATAAACGAAATATTTTGAATAAATGTGATATTTCGATTATAAAATATGCTAATTTGCATATTCACATTATTATATAATGAGTTATTCTTGTATCTTGTTACATTATCTTATTCATTGACCCTGAAAACATGGGTAAGGACACAGTAATTGTGGTGCTATCATTATCACTTTTAAAAGAATGTAAAAAATTCAATGCTTCAATAATGGCCGCCTTAATTTGCATAATGATTTTCCCCAAAGGTTATTTATTTAATTTTCCCCAAATTAATCACTAAGGAAACCCTTGATTAGTCAGTTATATTCATTGTTTTGTAATCTTGACATACAAAATATCTTTAATAAATGCGATATTTCAATCATAAAACGTGCTAATTTGCATATATGCACAATATCTAATTAGCCGTTCTTGTATATTTTAACATTATCTTATTCATTAACTCTGAAAACATAGGTTTAGACAAAATAATTATGCTGCTACCATTGTTACTTTTCAAGGTATTGAAAAAATCATTGTTTCAATAATGGCCTCCATAATTAGCCTATATTATTTTTCCCCAAACTAACTTTTTGTCCAACCCAGTTAAATTACTTCAAAAAACCCTTATTATCATGAATTGACCATAATACTTTGTACTTTTAATAATTTCTAGGTTCACTAAAGGATGCATAGGGGTGACAAATGGACTAATGAGTGAATATTAGGGTGAAAGAAACATTTGTAAAGAAATGTATTTGTCAACTTTAACAGCTGTCAAATACTTCTTTTAGCTTAACAGATTATTACCACCCCAATCCGCACTCTGAAATCACAGAACAGTCACTGTTGCATTAATAGTAGGGGTACCACGAGCGCTCGAGTGCTCGAGCGCTTGAGCAATTAACCTCCGATACGGGCTGTATCGATACATAAAATGAATATCGGTCGTATCGTTTTTTGACCGGAAGTCCCTTCTTCCTTACCCAAAGGGAGGGAAAAACTCAGAGCTTAGAGATGACAGACAGTCATAGTTATGTATCTTGCTTGCCGCTTTCGTTTGCCCCGATAGTTCCTGAATACCACAAGTCAATTAGATGTTTTAATCAATGTTAGCATATTTTACAACTTTCTTTGTCGTGATGTGAAATAAACGTAATCTGGCTGAAGTACTTCCAGCTTTACAAGTTTGAAAAATTAGAATAAAGTTAAGTTTTACTTCAATTCACGCCCGGTGATCGTGAAAATGGGACGGAGGGGGGGAGCAGGCAATTTCTGCAAGAAAATTCAACAAATCTGAGAGATTTATTTTTTCAAGAAAAAGTTTACTATTGAATTGCTGAATTGATAGGTGCACGGTATGGTAAAATATGTTAGGTCTTCTGGGATTTTTTCTGAAACGATAGGCATCTAAGATATGAGATCTATTAAAAAAGGCGCGAGGCAACCAACAGACACAAATCAACGTTTTAGCTATAAATCAAGCAACAATGGTCTACACGACCTGTATTAAATACTTGTAAGTGACGATATCATAACTAAATTAATGCCATTGCTGAATTTATAAAATAAGTTTCAATACGTAAAATAAAAAATAATCGAAAATAATTATGGGACGGAGGGGGGGAGCAATATGTATCATGTCTTAATACATATTGCTCCCCCCCCTCCGTCCCAAAATTATTTTTGATTATTTTTTATTTCACCTATGGAAACTTATTTTACAAAGTCAGCAATAACATTAATTTTGTGACGATAATGTCACTTACAAGTATTTATTACAGGTCATGTACACCATTGTTGCTTCATTTATAGCAACAACATTGACTTTTGCACGTTGGTGCGTTGCGCCTTTTTTAATAGATCTTATACCCTAAAAGAGTATCGGTTGAAAAAAAAATCCTAGAATACCTAACATATTTTACAATACCGTGAGCCTATTTATTTAGCAATTCAATAGTAAACTTCTTCTTTAAAAAATAAATCTTCCAGATTTGTTGAAATTTCTAGCAGAAATTGCCTGCTCCCCCCCTCCATCCCAATTCTACGATCACCGGGCGTGCAATTTACGCTGTATCATTGTATCGTATCGTTCATATCGTATCGCGAGGTCAGTATCGTAGATATGTATCGATATTAAATTTATCGTATCGTTGTACCCCTAATTAATAGTATGGTACTGTATAGTACTCTTCAAGTATGGTACCGTACACGGTTCATGGTACCATACAGTACTGTTTGAGTCTATGGGATACGGTACAGTACTGTTAGAGATTGGCTGTATATAATGGTGAAAATCAAATGCTGTCATTAAATCAAATGGACTGTTAATGGTGTGATTTTGGTATGTGCTCTATGCTGACGTCAATGTTTTCAATTTCCTATGTTGCTCTGTTTCAGGTTGATATTCTCCAAGCAGAGGTGGAAGCTTTGAAAAGTCTGGTAATAACTTCAACACCCAGTAACCCTAACAAGCACCTGCAGCACTTGGGACATCAACGACGACGTAGCGATGACACACGGTTTATCAACTTAACAAAAAAATCATCAACACATCACGATTTTAGAAAAATATCTGCACAGCAAATTGAAACTCCACCCAGTCCCACTCAACAAGTGGATCAGAAAGAAACAAAGGAAGAGAATAAGGAGGTTAGATTCTGTCACATATGTTCTGCATGAAATGAAATGGGTCTATGCTTAAATTCTCAGTTTGTGATGTTGTGAAGTACAGAGGGTAGAATAAGCATTAAAACTGTAAATAGGCATTTCATATTGATCTTTAAGATCTGTACTGTACAGAAATACCTTAATTGTGAGACTCCTGAAGCAAATCTTTCAACTCAAATCTTAATATGTTTAGAGAAAGAGTGGATTAAAGTAAGACGGGAGTGATTGCCTTGAAATGCCCTCACAAGGATTTTTTCTTAAAATTCAAACTTTACTTGCAGTCACCTTAGAAATGTCCAAATCTTAAAATATCCCAATTCCATACTCTGCAAATTGACATTAAGTTTAAAGACCAGAAAACTTTACCACCTGGTAAATGATTAAGCCTAAGCTCCGCCCAGATTTGTCAATATCCAATCATATAACTGCACTTGCATCATGGGAAGTCACATGACTCAAACAAAAGCACATGGCTGGTGAACAACTATAATATCAAAGTGGACTTACATACTATCCTCAATTATATTCTAATCCTATCCTTTTCTAGTTAATTATATAATCCCTAAGTAATTGTATATCTAGATGAAAATGTTTTATGTATAATTTGATTAAATAATTGTTAATTGTCATTGTTTAGTATGCTTATTCCCACATATGGCCCATAAATGGAACACCTTCTCTGTTGGGATACCACTCCCTCACCTTATGGACCACACAATTTGGCAAAAGTTCCCTTCTACAATTAATTAGTCCTCTTAGGTTGGGGTATTCCTCTAAAGCCCTTCTCTTTCTTTGTAAATATCTTTCATTATTCCATAATCCTCTATTGTTTAACATTCCCCAAAAGGATTTGTAGGCCACCTTTCTAAATTTGTTATTTATATCATGTGGATGATGTGGAGTATCAGGCCATGGGTCCTGAAGACAATATGGGCATCTTGTTTCATTTGCATCATCCTCATTCATTTTTTGGGTTTAACTTTCCATTTCTTTGTTCTAAACAATAGTTCAATGCTCTTGTCTTGTGATTCAGTAAGAAAATATGAAACAATACATATTTTCAGATTTACTACCATAGGACTATGTTACATATTGTGTAGTGTGTCACGACTCTTGACCAGCAGATAGACCTCCCAAATACGAAAATTTGATGAACCAAGCCCATGGTCAGCAAGAGAATATCCTTGATAACTCATTCATGATTTATAATGTGATTTGTATATATTTGTTGTAGCAAGACATTGCTTTGGGTGCTTAGATGTGACATGTCATGAAAGGGTGGTTAGAGCTAACATTCCACATGGTATGTTAAAAAGGGATCATAGGAAAATGTGTATAGAAATTATTAGTAGCACCATATGCTTATGGGTAGAGCCACATTTGAAGTAAATGTGTATTTGATACCAACCCAGAACTACATACCCATCTAATGTCATGCAAAACAATCCAACCAAAAAGGCAATCAGGATATCTCATTTGGATTTGGTATTTTGATATCACCCCAGGAAAAAGCTTGGATGAGAAAGGAATATCTCCAAGATCATCCCATTTAGAGCTATGGGTGTATCATTTGAATTTATAGGGGCATGGCATTCTGATACTCATAGCATCTTTCTGTTTCACCTCAGGGCTGAGAAGAAATGAGATGTCATGGATTATCATGATGGGGGCATGGCATCAACTATGAGACTTATTTTCCCATCTGGTCTTGAAATGACACTTGCCATATTTGTTCTCTGTTTCTAGAACTTAGATATCTTTACTTCATTAGAATCTAAAAACCTGTATATGTACATCCATTCACGGTTACCAGAGACATACATGTACTGGTTGAAACCATAAAACAAAATTATTGGTGAGATAATTGCCATGATTGCTTTATTATCAGTTAATGTCGTATTTCACTGTGATTACTGCTTATGGTCCCGGTTAATTACCTCAAGAAAAGATAAACAGCCAAATCTTTAAAGACAACATTGCAGGATTTGTTTTTCCAATTTGTTTTGCAATGCATTTATAATTATGCTTAATCACAGCATTATTAGAAGTAATCACAGTATGTTTACCATGATAAATACAATATTAAACTCTTTCAACAAGGTTTTGTATTTGTGATTAAAAAAGAGTAGAAACTTTTTGTAGAAAACGATAAGTCAATAGTGTTGCAGACTTGGGTAATTGTATGATATTATCACAAAAGATTAGCTGATCAAATGACACAGCCATGAACATGTTATTTTATTCATGTTCATTCTAACTTTGATGTTACATTCAGAAGAAGCAATGGCTGAAGCAAAGAAACCAAGAAAGCGCACGTCAAAATTCAATATTGAAATACAAGGAGAAGATGAGTTAAAACAAAAAACTCTTAAAAAGCTAAATCTAGTGAAAGAAAAAATGAAAACAGGTGTTAGAACAACAAATGCAGTAGCAATTGACACTTTGCTAGACTTCTGGATCTTCAATAATGTTCAACATGATGAAAGAGAAAGACAAACAGTGAATGATATCCTGGTTATTCAAGAACATACACCTGTTGAAAAAAACGAAACATCTGACCCAATGTTCCTGACAACAAAATCATCTATACAAAAGTTTGTGGACAGTGTTTCAGCGCATAATGTTTTTTGTAATATGGCATTACTCTGGAATGATCATAGTCTTCATGATCATGCAGCCTTGGTCAACATGAAGTGTGAAGCAGATCACCATATTAGATGGAAGTCATCTCCAACCTTACCAAATGGCCATAGTTTGGTGAACTTTCCTATGTTCCATGGGTATATTACATCTGGAATGCTTACCAGCCAATATGACCATCTGCATACAACTGCAGATTTTGGACACATCAGTAAAGAATTTACTGATGCATACGCTCAAAAGGTCAAGTCTTGCATGACAGACTCTTGTCAAGCTTCTATCGTAGAAGAATCCACACACCTTGAGCCAGAAAAGCTTGATGAAGGAATATCTATTATGACCGACGCAAGGCATGGTTGGCGAAAGAATGCCAATGATTGTGACGTGGTGTGTATTGGACTCTCGTCAATTGTCAAGTTTCCCAAACTAGGCAAATAACGTGGTTGCTTCAATGCTTTGTAGATCACTAATTTCTATCTTAAATGTTTAAATCTGGTTCCAGATTGATCCTGTCTTCTTTGAGGAGTTCAAAACTTGGAGATTGGCACCCAGTCTTGATACCACTAGTCCATTCTTCAATACAATAAATAGGGAAGATATACAGCCTTGCCTCAAATTCACACAAAAACAGGTTAGTCCAGGTACATGTTTTAACCCGGGGTTTGGAAGATGGGATATATATACCTCTTCCATGTAAAAATATATTGTTTTTATGTCAACACCAAAAGTGGTGATATATTGTTGTAGTCTCTAACTTTTTTATGGATGACCAATATTCGGTGTTTAGTGTTCGGCAATCTGTGTCTGTAACAAATGGCAGGTGGTGACATTTTGCTTGTTTATGCCTTGGTTAAATGTCATTATGATTTGTTTGAGTTAGCAATATTTTGATATTGATAAATTACCCTTCACGCATTTGCATTAAAATAAAAATATTTTTGTTCCAGCTTTTAGCTAGATTGTACTTATGACTATGTGTTTGTTTTACTTCAGCTTTCTAGTGCAGTATTAGAAAATATCCAGCAAAATACTCTTACCATGGAACCTTTTGGGGAGAAGAACCCGTTCCCCAGGTGAGTCATTTTTTATTTATTTTTGAATTGCCAGATAAAGATAGTGTAAAAACCAGATTGCAAATATTTATGTAAGATCACATTAAGAGAATAGCAGGGGTTAGAATTAAGGGTTCGAGCCGGGGGTTAGAATTAGGCGGTGATTCTTTGACTCTCTTTCTGGCTAACTAACTGATTTGAAAGACAAAGTTATTGAGTTATTCAAAATTTTAACAACAGTTTTAAATCAATCAATCATATTTTGCCATCTTCAATATTTGTTTCACATATTTTTCTGCGTTGTATATATTTGGAGAAAATGTTTTCAGGAAATGTGCCTTAACAGATGCAAGCAGAGTTTGCAAGTTCAGAGTACAACTGGCCAGTCCTAGTTCATCACATGTCATATGTCAATTCGCCAGAGACAGGGTATGTACATTTGGCCAGTCCTAATTCATCACATGTTATATGTCAATTCCCCAATTGGCCAGTCCTAGTTCATCACATGTCATATGTCAATTCGCCAGAGACAGGGTATGTACATTTGGCCAGTCCTAGTTCATCACATGTTATATGTCAATTCCCCAATTGGCCAGTCCTAATTCATCACATGTTATATGTCAATTCCCCAATTGGCCAGTCCTAGTTCATCACATGTCATATGTCAATTCGCCAGAGACAGGGTATGTACAATTGGTCAGTCCTAATTCATTACATGTTATATGTCAATTCCCCAATTGGCCAGTCCTAGTTCATCACATGTCATATGTCAATTCGCCAGAGACAGGGTATGTACATTTGGCCAGTCCTAGTTCATCACATGTTATATGTCAATTCCCCAATTGGCCAGTCCTAATTCATCACATGTTATATGTCAATTCCCCAATTGGCCAGTCCTAGTTCATCACATGTCATATGTCAATTCGCCAGAGACAGGGTATGTACAATTGGTCAGTCCTAATTCATCACATGTTAAATGTCAATTCCCCAATTGGCCAGTCCTAGGTCATCACATGTCATATGTCAATTTGCCAGAGACAGGGTATGTACAATTGGTCAGTCCGAATTCATCACATGTTAAATGTCAATTCCCCAATTGGCCAGTCCTAGGTCATCACATGTCATATGTCAATTCGCCAGAGACAGGGTATGTACAATTGGTCAGTCCTAATTTATCACATGTTAAATGTCAATTCCCCAATTGGCCAGTCCTAGGTCATCACATGTCATATGTCAATTCGCCAGAGACAGGGTTTGTACAATTGGTCAGTCCTAGTTCATCACATGTTATATGTCAATTCCCCAATTGGCCACTCCTAGGTCATCACATGTCATATGTCAATTTGCCAGAGACAGGGTATGTACAATTGGTCAGTCCTAATTCATCACATGTTATATGTCAATTCCCCAATTGGCCAGTCCTAGGTCATCACATGTCATATGTCAATTTGCCAGAGACAGGGTATGTACAATTGGTCAGTCCTAATTCATCACATGTTATATGTCAATTCCCCAATTGGCCACTCCTAGGTCATCACATGTCATATGTCAATTTGCCAGAGACAGGGTATGTACAATTGGTCAGTCCTAATTCATCACATGTTATATGGCAATTCCCCAATTGGCCAGTCCTAGGTCATCACATGTCATATGTCAATTTGCCAGAGACAGGGTATGTACAATTGGCCAGTCCTAATTCATCACATGTTATATGTCAATTCCCCAATTGGCCAGTCCTAGGTCATCACATGTCATATATCAATTCGCCAGAGACAGGGTATGTACAATTGGCCAGTCCTAGTTCATCACATGTCATATGTCAATTCGCCAGAGACAGGGAATGTACAATTGGTCAGTCCTAGTTTATCACATGTTATATGTCAATTCCCCAATTGGCCAGTCCTAGTTCATCACATGTCATATGTCAATTCGCCAGAGACAGGGTATGTACAATTGGTCAGTCTTAATTCATCACATGTTAAATGTCAATTCCCCAATTGGCCAGTCCTAGGTCATCACATGTCATATGTCAATTCGTCAGAGACAGGGTATGTACAATTGGCCAGTCCTAGTTCATCACATGTCATATGTCAATTCGCCAGAGACAGGGTATGTACAATTGGTCAGTCTTAATTCATCACATGTTAAATGTCAATTCCCCAATTGGCCAGTCCTAGGTCATCACATGTCATATGTCAATTCGTCAGAGACAGGGTATGTACAATTGGTCAGTCCTAGTTCATCACATGTCATATGTCAATTCGCCAGAGACAGGGTATGTACAATTGGTCAGTCCTAATTCATCACATGTTATATGTCAATTCCCCAATTGGCCAGTCCTAGGTCATCACATGTCATATGTCAATTCGTCAGAGACAGGGTATGTACAATTGGTCAGTCCTAGTTCATCACATGTCATATGTCAATTCGCCAGAGACAGGGTATGTACAATTGGTCAGTCCTAATTCATCACATGTTATATGTCAATTCCCCAATTGGCCAGTCCTAGTTCATCACATGTCATATGTCAATTCGCCAGAGACAGGGTATGTACAATTGGTCAGTCTTAATTCATCACATGTTAAATGTCAATTCCCCAATTGGCCAGTCCTAGGTCATCACATGTCATATGTCAATTCGTCAGAGACAGGGTATGTACAATTGGTCAGTCCTAGTTCATCACATGTCATATGTCAATTCGCCAGAGACAGGGTATGTACAATTGGTCAGTCCTAATTCATCACATGTTATATGTCAATTCCCCAATTGGCCAGTCCTAATTCATCACATGTTAAATGTCAATTCCCCAATTGGCCAGTCCTAGGTCATCACATGTCATATGTCAATTCGTCAGAGACAGGGTATGTACAATTGGTCAGTCCTAATTCATCACATGTCATATGTCAATTCGCCAGAGACAGGGTATGTACAATTGGTCAGTCCTAATTCATCACATGTTAAATGTCAATTCCCCAATTGGCCAGTCCTAGGTCATCACATGTCATATGTCAATTCGTCAGAGACAGGGTATGTACAATTGGTCAGTCCTAATTCATCACATGTTATATGTCAATTCCCCAATTGGCCAGTCCTAATTCATCACATGTTAAATGTCAATTCCCCAATTGGCCAGTCCTAGGTCATCACATGTCATATGTCAATTCGTCAGAGACAGGGTATGTACAATTGGCCAGTCCTAGGTCATCACATGTCATATGTCAATTCGTCAGAGACAGGGTATGTACAATTGGTCAGTCCTAATTCATCACATGTTATATGTCAATTCCCCAATTGGCCAGTCCTAATTCATCACATGTCATATGTCAATTCGTCAGAGACAGGGTATGTACAATTGGTCAGTCCTAATTCATCACATGTCATATGTCAATTCGTCAGAGACAGGGTATGTACAATTGGTCAGTCCTAATTCATCACATGTTATATGTCAATTCCCCAATTGGCCAGTCCTAATTCATCACATGTCATATGTCAATTCGTCAGAGACAGGGTATGTACAATTGGTCAGTCCTAATTCATCACATGTCATATGTCAATTCGTCAGAGACAGGGTATGTACAATTGGTCAGTCCTTAATTCATCACATGTTATATGTCAATTCCCCAATTGGCCAGTCCTAGTTCATCACATGTTATATGTCAATTTGCCAGAGACAGGGTATGTACACTTAAACCTGTTGATGAGCACCTTTCTTAAACGAACATGTTGTAATGTAGATAAATCAACATTTTTATTTTATTTTTTTTATTTTATGGGAGAGTTACACCACAATGAAAAAAACTTGTTTTTCCACAACTTTGAACATTTGAACAAGATCTTGGCAATTACAATATAAGAAAAACAAAGTAAATGTACATTTGCAATAAAATTGTGCCCTTAATTGTGATTATGAATTTCAGGTTGCTGCGGTGTGTGACTTCTATACATATATACGGTACATTCATCAAGGTCTCGTCAAAAGTGAAGGTAAAATTATTTGTTAATTTTGTATAAATGCTAATATTTTATTACCTGAAAATCTTCTTACATCTGATTATTAACGATTCAATAAATCAATTCTTTGCCTTAATATTTATGAAGTAGAAACAGTAATTGAAAATTATTGCTTTATATATCCAGATTTATTCAGAACATAATATAACTTAAAATTATGATTTGATTGAAACACAAAAATGTATAACCATTATTAGTAAATCTCTAAATCTCTCAATCTAAATTATATTTCATAATTTTATATTTCAGATCAAGATGTTTACTGGCACATAATAAAACTACGCAAACAGATGGCGCTGTCAAGATTAGGCCTAGGATAGGGGCATATTTATAGGTTGTACTTTATATAGCTAGGTGACAGACTGTGCAATGAATGGGCATCACAAGTTTACAATTTAACTAGAAGAGAAAATAATTTGAAATGAGGAAACCATCAAAATAACTGCAACAATAGAATGTATTCTGGATTGTGTATTGTCCAGAAATCGTCAAGTTTACATCTTAAGCCATGAAGAGCAATGTCTTCACTGAATGTCTCCCATTGCAATACAAAATAGTAAATGTATTTTTTTATTTGAATGTGTTTACTCGATTTAGTTTTATTTGTAAAGATTTTTTAACCAATTTATGTATGGCCATTTTTTAAATCAATATTTTATCACACTTTTATGAGGCGTTTACCTTGTTTCAACGAAGATTGTAATACAAGAAACATTCCAATGTTCAAAATCTTACAGTACATTTGACTAAATCTTGTAAAATCAGCTTGTGGTAGCCTTTTATAGATTTATGTAGTATAATGTAGTAGGTTCAATACTGAATAATGCAGTCTAAAAGTGGTGTTAGGATGATATAATTTAGTGGAAGAATAGGTCTTGTATTAAGTTTCTGCCCTCCTTCTTTCCATCCCACCAGCCTGGGAGGGAGAAACCACTTGTCCCATGAACTCATGTGACCCATCAACAAATAACCTGATTGGATAACTAAAGTGAGTCATGTGATCAATCAAAAAATAACCTGATTGGCTAACCAACATTCATCTTGGTCATGTGACCAACCAACAAATAACCTGATTGGCTAAATAACATTCATGTGAGTCATGTGACCAACTAACAAATAATCTTATTGGCAAATGGAAAAGAAATAAAATAATCTCAAAACTCAGTAGAAGGCTCTGTGAGAAGGAATAGGGTAAGACTGGGACTTGATACAAGATTCAGTTCTCATAACTATGTAACCAATATATGCCATGTCAATATGAATTAAGGAAGGGAACGTTTCTGTGAGAGATCAGATTAAAATGCTTCCATAGAGTTTTTTGAGTATTTTATCAAAGTGTATTCGACTCCCCTCCATAAATTTTGTTAATATAAGTATATATATAATATAAGTTTGGATGTTAGTTTAATGTCAGAATGCCCTTATATGGACATATAGAATTCAACAGAGTGAACGAGGTTTATGGAGGAGAGTATAGTTCTGTTTGTTTCTTCCAAAATATATGTTTATTTGTACAAAATTAGATTTGTTATAAAACCTCAGATTTGAAAACATTCCATTGCGAGCATGGAGGCTTTATGAAAAGATGGAATGAGTTAAAATTCTTGTTTCATTTCCAATGAGTTTTTTACAATTAGATTTGATCGAAGCATTCTAGGGTTTGAAGGGCCAAAGTAATAGTTTCCTTTTTTGGGTTTTGATGAAGTAATGCTGTATGGAAGTTGAAGATATGGTTCATTATTGTTGCAAAGAACTTCTTTCAAAAACATTGCTTTCTTTACACATGATCAAAATGTCTGTCCAGTCAACCATACAATGTCTCAAATAAAACATTTAAGCTGTTTGAGTTTGGAATGTTCTTAAACAGCCCCAGAGTGCTGCTATTATGGGCATCTTGATGTAATGAAAACTACGGAGGGTTCTCTGTCAACCATTTAGTAGGGTGTTGCGTTATTTTTGACATCTAACGCACTAGTAACATTTTATAAAAAATATGTTACAGGCCACTATATACAGTAAGCCACCTCCTAAATCTCTTTTTTATTATTTATATTCAGAACATTATTAATCGAAATGCTTATTAACCTTTGTTGGTAAAAGAGAAATAAGGTGAAAATGATAACTGGTTGTGAATGACAGGGTGGCCATGAAGTAAGGTGAAAAGTAACTTTTTCAAACATCAATAAATGTAACTGTAAACCCAGGTCCTGCATTTTTAAAGAATTGTAAAAATACTCGATGATGTTCAAAAAAGAACTTATGATTTACTTTCTGATTACCATATACAACCATTATAAGCAAGAACTTAAGAAAATTGTACAGTTCTATGCATACATAGCAAACAGTTTAATACTAATGCTTTGATGCCTTGCTATATGTTAAAATACTCTAACGTTTTAACATTTCTGTCAACGAATATTTCATTTATTTGGAGATCAAATGTTTTTGATATTTTTATGAAAGATTTTGTAAATCAAACGTCATGCTTAATGAAAACTTTATTGAAACTTTATGGAATTTTATCGAAATGCAATTTTTTTGCATTATCAACTTTTTTGTCCTGAACTGAGTGAATCAAACTTACCAGATAAATTGCTTTAATTTTGCACCCATATGGCTTTCATCAATGCTTTACAACATCACCAATTAAATTCACCAATAATTACTAGTTTAAAGTGTTATTTTGGAGTTTTTTGAGATCCATTATGTAGTTATCAATGTCCAGATAACAGCAATAATTGTAAATGGTGTCAAATTTAAGCAATTTACAGTACTTTATGCATTTTCTTATAAAATGCATAAAAATAACTTGAAGAAAATATGCAATAATTTTAAAATGTGAAGACATTTACAATATTATGTAAATAACAGTTTTACATCAATTTATTGGCTGTTTTTAAATATTTTGTATTAGATACGTGGAGGTGGGTTGGAGTGCTATGAAGCAGAAAATGTACATTTTAATCAAAAACATCAAAATTTCCGTTACCTCTAGTACTCTAGTATTTTTGCTGTAAAAGTTTAAACTCTCTCCATGTAATGGTGTGTGTTATGCTCCTTAATTTCCTTATTTTGGGAAAAGGCTGGTTGTAAAACTCAAAAAGTTCAATATTATTAAACTATTATAATTATATTCATGTATATACAGTACATAAGAGAACTATTTTCAAATATAACTTGTTTTAGTTGATGTGTTTTGTTATTGTTCAGTTTTAATCTAAAATCATGGTACTTACAGTACCATTAGAGAATTTTTTATACTATGGTGCCATATTTACAGTCCGTAAAGTACCAATTTGCCAAAAAATGGGAAAATTGATCATCCTTTGTATTTTTTGTCACACTCGAAGTAATAATTCATTGGAAATTTTAAAAAGTGAAAACCTTTCTATTTTGCATTGAGAAATCGGCCAATTAAAATAGCCTCGAAAATATGTTGTCTAGCGTTTTACAGTAATCCATTCCAAGTCTGGGGCTTATAAAAGAAGGATTTATAGTGTTGTTAGTGTACCGTTTTACAGTTTTAAGTTACATGTTTAATATATAAACCTGTCTTGATCTCGTTCCAATGAGTACTGTGTAAAAAACCAGTGTTGATAAAACTGCTTTGAAGTTCTATCTGATAGACTACCACTGTGTGAAAGAAATGTAATAGTGATTAAAGGGAAATTGAGTGGAAAAACAAGATATATAGGGAACATTTTTCTTTGCATAACTGTTAAAAATAGGAATTCGCACAATGTATTTAAGAGAAAAAGAAAAAATAGAAAATTGTATACCGTAACCGTTTATCATTAAAGTGCTAACAATTTCCAACTTAGCATACAATACGTCATTGTGTATACGTTAGCGTTAGAGTATGCGACAAGATTCACGTCATTGATGATAAAAGAAAATTGATTAAAAAAGGAATTAAATATTTTCTGGAAGTTTGGACAATCACGAAATGTTTGGGAAGCAAAATATGCAGATTTCTAAGATACACTCGTATGTCTGCATTGATGCAAAGGAACATACGGGGGTTGATCGAATACACCACTTGCTTTATAAATATTTATACTTTATGAATATTATTCATATTTGGCCTCACTCATCCCGTATATAGTAGTTTCATTTTGTATAAAAATAAGCAATAAATTTTACAGGTGACATAGGTATTTGGTTACCATAGCAACATAACGACAGGGTTTGTGGAGTATTTTTTTTAGTTATATAATACATACACCCACTCCATAAGTTTGGCTACTGGAAGTCACCGATGGGTAGTGGTGTCATGTCCATGTTGGGTGAAGTAATGGGTTTTAATTTCACAAATGCCGTTCAAATGCATTCATCAATTTTGAAAGTTTTATGTTACAAATTTTACCGAAATAAACCTAAAGATGAATAATTTGCGATATTACTACCAATCCACCGACCAAGAAACAACTGAAATAAAACCTTGTGAATCAAGATGCAAGCTAGATAAAGTTCCGCAAAATGTTAACCATTTTTGAAATTTTTTCATGAAATGTTACGGAACTATAATCACCGAAACAATTACCCCTATTGTACTAAAATAGCAAAATTGATTTCTGTATTTGCCAAAAAACACATGCATTTTTATGCGTTGTTGCATCGCTGCATCACAGTGTGGAATAACCATATATTATTGAATCAATTCATTTATGCATTAAATATTATTACATAGTATTGTTGAACCATCATACATTGTACCATAGTGCTGTATCGGTTTATTAATGCTCTGCAATGGTGTGCTATTGTATCATAAATATTGCATTTTGTTATCATGCAATAAAATATTTTAACAAAATGTGTTGATTTATACCACATTATTGTATTTGCATTATGGCATTTTGTCGCTTTAAAGATATTGCATTGTTGCATTTATTGCATTGTTGTAGTTTTGCATTGTTGTAGTTTTGCATTGTTTGAGTATTGCATATATATTAATACAAGGTGTTTTCCCACGTTATCAAGAGGCTCTAATTAAGACAAGAGACATGGAAACCTTTCTGATGGAAATGTTAACCCCAGTTTATACCCCTTGTGAACTAGCAAATTCACTAACTAGGCGATAAAACAATCGGCATTTCCTGACTAATGATCCTCACTTCTCCAAATGTACATTTAGACTCCCGTCAAGCTCAAAAACTAGTACTGGAAGCTACAGTGAAACCTATGCGGAGTGCAAACATATCGTTTGAAAACTATGGTATGTGGAGATGTGTGGTATTGCCCAGCCTAAAACTGGAGACTTTTTTACACTTTGTGATAAAATTGGTTCCAATATTTAACATTCTCTTGAGACTTTATAAGTTTTTGCTGCTATTTTGAAATTCCTGATATTAAGATTTCTTTTTTGGCCCACGAAATACAGTAGGTGTATATAGCTTAGATATATCTTCGACTTTCACAAACATGCACGTTTACGAAAACAGTAAAAGCTGAGAAACAAATGGTATTGGTGCCATTACATGTATTGGGAAATGGATTGCGTCTGAGTCAAATTGAGAAAAAATACGGTCGGGGAAAAGCTCTGAGAAATGCTGGAAGCCAAGAACAGACACTGTTTTTTCTTTTCTAGCCAAATTTACGTTATTGGCACAAAATAACCAAAAGTAAGAAAAACGAAATTACAAAGGGCAAAATTTTAAAAACAGAACACTATAAACTCCTATTAATATGGAGAATATGAGATCTAAACTAATATGAAACGTGGATCATTTGTATCAGTCGAAATTGAAGCTAAAAATACCAAATCAAGAGTAGTGACTGTGTTTACCAACACAGGTATCATTGTACATCCCTACTGTGTTAAAGGATGCCGATGTGCTAATAAGGATATGTACGAACCGTTTCTTCGGGATTGAACCAACGGTTTTATCGAACATTGCCAAGTAGTGTTGGTAAAAGTTACTAGACAGAAAGGAAATCCCAATTATTTTCCCACGTTTGAAAAGCCAAGGTGATCGCGATTTAAATTGCAAAAACGAGATTTAAGAAAGGGTGCAAAAATAAATGAAACAAGCACAGAAGCAAACAAACAAATCACCTAAATGCCCAAAAACTAAGCAATTCATAAACTCCTTATACAGACACATTGCAGAAAGATATTATTACAGCGTAAAAATCAAATTAAAAGCCTCACATGAACTGTTAGCAAGAAAAGGAACATGATGGACGTGGCAAAATAATCAAATCGTATAAGTAGAACAGGTGATTCCGACATAGAAAGTTTCAAGATCCATCATTAAAGTTGGAGATACCATTATTGGATAGACAACTACAAGTAGCTAAGTCCGGGGCTTCAAAAACACTTTAAGTTTAAGATAGTGTTTGATCATGATGCAATAGATTTAGGAAATAGCACCAGAACTTTAAGTAGTAGGGAAACGCGGTTTCTGACCCATCATTAACCTAACTACAAATGAATGCCATATTTTTTAGTTGAATATTTAACCATTAACCCGAGGAGGTTAACTATAGTTTATTAACCAGTCGGCGGTGCACCCGATAAGTCTAGAGTTGATGAGTTCCACAACCGCCAAGAAAGATTTACCCTCTACAGGATAAGTGAATACACGGGGAATCCAGAAAACCGCAATCTTTGTTAAAGTTTCGCCACAAAACTGTTCAAGATACCAGCGAGGCCAAACAGTGCTCGTATATGCATACATACACATACATAGTACCTAACTGCTCGAATCCTAAGTGTTGTAAGTCTGTTGTTTCTATCTAAATTTGTAACCCAAAATCAACGAGATACGTGTAACTGTTTCAATTGAATTGAATTGAATAGTAATCTCCAACTCACTGCAAATAGCCATGCTTCAGTACAACGTCACCAGTTAATTAATTTACAAATTGGTTAATCTTCTGGGATTAGGATTAAAGGATTATCGGCACTGGAAAAGAGTGTAAGTACGTGCTGTATACTATACTGTTGCCTGTCTGTAATAAACCCAAAACATCGAGACTATTGAGCGCCCAATAGACGGATAGAGCCTATAGACAACATTATGTTCAGCTGATGAGGATAAAGCGAAACTTCAAAGAAATTGATGCTGAAAGGAATAATATTAAAATGTGAGAAGTATTATAAAGTAAGGAATCGGGATAGAGGGGTTGAGGGAAGCGGACGCAGACGGGACTGACCGGCCAACCGTGTGTAGAGGCACGCAGTCTTGGAATAGGGGCTAGGAAGAAGCTAAGACAGAAATAGAGATGGGAAGAATCAGCTGTGTGGGCTACCTTACAAATTATGCTGTGAAACATTGTATCGTGGTAAGTAAAACAACGAGACAGTAACTCATACATTTTTATCAACAAAATAAAAATATTTTATGCCCGGGATTTTATGTTGAGCAAAGGTGGTTTCAAATTTTGGCAAGGGTTATTATAACATTATGATCTTTAGTTCCCCGTCTGTTTTCCAGTTTGCTTGTTTTAATGAAATATAATTTGTGACTAGTACGTGGTATGATTTTCTGGCAAACGTGCAATGGGAAAGTGACAACTTTGAAAAGTAGGATGGACTTCATGCTGCCCTTAAACATAGCCCTTAGGGTTTAATGAATATTTTAGTACTCTTACTAAACATCTAAAATTAGAATAAAAATATAAACGTTTTTTTTACTTTCTATCTTTTTATGCAATTGGATCATTGCGTCAGACTGACAGATAAGTTCAGTTTTTGAAATATATCACAATAGTCAGACCCCCGCACCCCCCCCCCCCAGGTTAGATATGGATGTCTCCCGGGATGCCTCGCCTACTGCACTAATCTGGTTCTTAGTAGAGGATTAGGGTTTCTGATTAGTGGAACGACAATGTGAATTGTATTTGAGATCTTAAAATAGAACAGGAAATAATAGAGATGGAGGATCATTTCCAGATTATTTCCACTGGGTGCATTTTGTGGCATTTCATATGATAACAAGGGGGGGGGGTGTTAATCAATGAGAGCCAGTGAATGGGAAATGCCTTCCTAAAACTATGTAACTGACTTCCAATGTACTGTTTGTACACTTGATAGGTGTCAATAGTCCATGTTTTAAGGTGGCTTTAACCCTATATTTAATGATTCACGACAATCTAGATATTGTATTATATACATGTATCAAATCTATCTAGGTTTTTTGAACGGTTGTACTTGAAACGCCCCCCGTCACGTAGTCTTGGTTCGGTACCCTGTGACTTATCAGTCGTCACATTATGTAAAACACGGGTTTGTTTTGTTTTGTACTGTACTTCTATGACATACAGTACCTGTATTATTAACAACAATCAGTCTTCAAGGTTGAGTGTGTTTGGGGGGTGGGCCATTGACGTTTTAAATATTTGTTAGTGAATGACAGCTTGCACGTAAACTTCACATAATCGTAAAGAACCATCCCTGGCAAAATTTCCGAGGGTGGAAATATCTTATTTGTAAATTGTCATAATTCAGTTTCATGACTTTAGGAAAATGAAATGCCATTTCTCGTGGAACTTAAGTACTTCAATGAAATGTTGATAATGTCTCTAATTTTGTTTAAAGTGTTCTGAGACACTCATTGAGATTGCATATTGGAAAGGGTTAAAAGGCTGCAGCACTTGGGCTGAGACCCCAATTAAAATGGCATAAACAGAAGGTGAACGTAAAGTTTACTCTTGAGTATGCGAAATATGTTTTGTTAATTTTCAACAAGTAAAGATACCATAAAAATGTAATGCCCGAGATAGTGGTAATGATTCAATTATATCCAACGTTTCCTAGATTTTTTTTTAGATTTTTAATATCAATGCATTACACATAGAAATTGTCCCGCGGTGTTTTATAAAAGTTCTACTTTTGAAGTATTTGGCAAGAAATGTCTACAATTGCAAGAATCCACAGACGAGCCAGGGTCAGAACTTGAAACAAGAATAAATCACATTCAGGCTTAGAGCTCCCTTGCAAAGGTACTTTTAAGGAAATAGATACATACAGCTAATCCAATCGGACCAGAGAACACGAAACCAAAATATATGCAAAATATATATGCAAAACTAGTTTTAATAACCAAAAGATCCTTTTGGAGAAGTGGATTGTTCGCTGAACAATTCATTCTTTCATATTTTTCCAAGACATCCCTTTATTTTTGCTGTAACCTTAATTGTTAATTAGGGCATTTAGCTCTAGTTTTTCCTTGAAAACTCCTCGCTCATGTCTGGTGTTTGGTTAACTTAAAGACCCAGCCACGTGAGCAATTTCCTCTGACGCGACCCAAGATGTTTGGCTGCCCGTAGAACTGCCCATGTAAACTTGGATTTCTGATTATGACCTCAAATTGATAATAGTCTCCCACTATGAACTAGCTTTTAAAACCATTTATTCATATCAATATGATCTGAAACCGTGTCATCCGATCTATGCGAATTTGACTTTCCATTTCTGACCTTGACTTTCTATCTCTGACCTTGATTTTCTATCTCAGACCCTGACCTCCCACCATGACATGACATGGACATGACCTCTACTCCGATAATTGACCTTGAACCGCGTCTCAGACTTTTCTTTACTTGCGACATTGACCTAATTGAAGCTTACGTATTACAAGAAAGAACCATATGGAACGTGACATTAACAATGTCACACGTCGCCACGTAGACAACGAATTGCTTGCTGATTACAGTACGTTTGGCAATTTCATGCACCATTCACTTGTACTGCTGTTCTACCAGTTCAGTCTTTTTCTTCTATCGATCAAGATGCCACTTGCAAAAAATCAAAAAGTTTAATTGGATACAACGCACGCCCACTGCTTTTGGGGATGCAATTAATCAAATGAACACACTGGACATGGCGATTATCACTGCCCCATCCACTCTAATCAGTTTCTTGCAATACTTTGACATGATCTCCGATGCAACCATTTCAATCCCAGAGTCCTCAGTAACTCAGAATTCAACCCAATACAGCTATTGGCCAAACCAAGGTAGAACGAAACATATGACACAATGTCAACCAGGTGGGATACATCAAAATAAAACATAGAAATAGTTTATTTTCAGGTGTGATGCAGCTGCCATTGGGGTTATAGCAACTCTCTACCTGCTGTTCGGCTTATTTTCTTAAAGTGGCAGAAGGATATAGCAAATGTAAATTGTTGTGAGCAATCATTCAATTAACATGTCAATGCGTGGGTGCTTGTCCCTTTACCCCAAAAAGGATATCTGATGAAAAACGCAGGCAATTTGAAAGATTTGCGACGATTCATCGAAAGGTTGCCCACTTCTTCCTTTATTCCATGTTTACTGGAAGTTCTGGAATTGATATTCTATATTTATTTTCAGTTGATATGGATTGTGATAAATGTGCTGCTCTTCTGGAAGACATACATGCACTACAAGTATGAGCCTCAATGGTTTTACCTGCACCAGATACTCGGGGTAAGTTTGTTAGCCCGCCAGATGATTTCTTACATGTTCGGGGACAAGATCGGTAAATGACACGGGGAGGGATTATCGAGCTAGGACGCTTCCTCTTCGGATGGAACACAGTGATGTGGTTCCTTAATTCTGGTGTCACTGTCACACGATCTCACCAAATTCATCCAACCAACTAACCACATACTCACTTTTTAAAATGCATAAATAAGGGTTGTGTACTGGGAGGTTTTGGATATGGGGTTTATCCAGAGGGAGATATGCATATCTACCTGAGGGACCGTAGGGACCGAAGGTAGATGTGCATATCTCACGAGGGATGAACCCCATATCCAAACCGACCGTACATAACTGCTTTATCCTATACCAAGTAGAGTTTTCAAATTTTCTTTCAATTTTTTCGAATTATTTTTTCTTTTTTCAATTTTTTTCACATTTTTCAAATTTTTTCTAATTTGTCTATTTTTCTATTTTTTTCTTTTTTCAATTTTTATTTTTTTACATTTTTTTCAATTTTTTCTTATTTTTTCAATTTTTTTTTTCGAAGCGGGAAGATATGCCCTGGAGCGGGAGATATGGAGGTTCAGGATATGGACACCTCAAAATCAGGATACGGGATATATCTTACCAACTTATCTCCCTAAAACTCTACTTGGCATAGGATATATGAGTATATTAACTCAAGGTGCATGGTAGGGTATGCGCGTATAACTCGGAAGTCGAATAATATCACTGTGAATATGTCCTTACCAAAATTTCGGGGTCACAATGTTCGCACAACTATTAACGTAATTCTTTCTGTTCAAGATGCCATGGGCAAGTTAGCGAGGGCCCATATTGTTACTTCCCATGATGCAAAATCCGTTTGCCGTTTCAACCAAAGATACTAATATGAACATGATTATATTTTAACTTACACATAGACATTATTTTTGGCATAATCGCAACGATGTTGCAAAATACAATTAATCTATGATCTCTAGTACAATAACTGATGATACAATGCTCCCAGGAGGTCTCATTTGTTGAATAATAATTGTGTTACTAACAAGATTATAATTGTCTTGCACCCTAGACTTGATCCAGGTTGATATTCTTGCACCCAAACAAAAAAGAAAATGCAAATATTTCATTTATCTAAAAAACGCGCGAACATCTCAAACCTGTGGATTGGACTTTCGCAACTCTGATGAAACATACAATCTCACCTAGGTACCCCCAATACACAGAACTCTACAATACTAACACATGAATCATATATCAATAAATGACCTCGTTATTTTCTCCACAGAAGTTAAAACATATTAATTCATTTAATTCATTACTTCCATTTTTTCTCATAAAATCAACAATGTTTAAAACATTTCAATGTTTTGATAGTTCTTAGTAAAAAAACAAAGGGCAGCATTCGGGAAAAAAGAACTTACAGAAGGGGCTATTAGAGACAAAAAATATTATTATTAGAGAGATAGAAGAGAGTTAAGTTTTTATGCTTTTACAACTTATTTGAAGCATGCAGTACGTCATCACATTAACCGACTTAGTAGTGGTCAGATTAGGCCAACGTTATAAGAGATTCCATCCAAGTTAAGTTCATAGTTCATTTTTTATTCATATGTGTTCATATTCAAGGAAAATGGCCCACGGTGGACAATCTTATAAGATCGTTAACCGACTTTTTATATTGTGGTCAAGATAGGCCACTGTTTCTACACATTCCAGTTCTGTTTATTTATTCTTCAATATACAAAGTTGCTCATATTTATAGGATAATGCCTTAAGGCGGGCAGAGTGGTAGAGTATAGGACAGATAGTCCCCCAAGTAAAATCAAGATTATTACCACCTTGCCGGGCCAGTTCTAGGGGTTTTAGTGCTAGTTTAGAAGGCGTTTATTTTACTATATCGACCTGAGAAATGTGTGACGTCATAGTGGTGGTCCATATGGACCGGTCTAGAATATATTCTGGACCGGCAATTTTCCCCGGGAAATTAGATATCGTTCAATGCGTAAGATTTTCTTGCTGTTTCAGTCCTGGTCGTTAACGGTGGTAATAATACTAATAACGTCATTTCTGCGAGCAATAAAGTGAAATATTGGACCTTGGGCCTTCGGCCTTCGGCCCTCGGTCCAATATTTCACTATATCGCCCTTAGAAATGACGTTATTGTACTATTAACCGTTGGTCGAAAGTCGTAATCTTCGTATCAAAAGGGCACCATAATTTATAGGATTTATTTGTACAGATGCCCTAGGGCCAAACGTACATCCAACAATAAAAATATCACAATTTACAATTACAGTTATAATTTATATTCTGTTGTATGGGTTATCACTTATCAAGAACCACTTTTCAAAGAAAACTAAGTGTCGAAATATCATTTTGGAGAAAATAGTAATGTTTACAGTACTTTTCATAAAAAATATTTGAACAGAGAAAATTTGATGAAACAATATGTTTTCTTTTGCAAATTGCGAGGCACGCCATAATTTGTTCTACTTCAAATTTGCTAAATATCCTACTAAGAACCCTGACACGTTTATGTTATATTCAGATCATGGAAATAAAAATAATCAAATGTTTGTACTCTATGATTGTGTCCATCAACAGCTGTCCCTCAGTCTAAACTTTGCAGCAAGTGGTTCAATTGCTCTGTACTTGGTAAACAAAACCAAGATAACACTACAGGCCCTAGATCGCATGTAGTTGGTACACAGACAGAAGATAACGGCACATTATGATCCCAGATCGCATGCTTCTTTTTCATGCACATCAATTGCCCTAACTACATTGATACTGCCAAATGGACAAATGGCAAATTTTTGAATTTGGGATTTTTATTTTGGTATGGTTCTGCAAGAATTCGATCATCATGATAAACTATATCATCTTCTTCAGTACCCGGGCTTTGACCTCCTTCCTTCTCGAGTCTTGTTGCAAAAAAGGAAGATTAGCTGATATCACAATTCGATATTGTTGATAGTAGAATGCGTTGTTTTGTTTTGTTTTCCAAATGTTGCCATGGTGCCCGGACCATGTTGTATTCTTCAAATGTAATTTTTAATGATTCGTTCATTCTTATCCATCAATCCCTCTCTTAGTACCAGATATGTACCATGGATATCACACGAATACCACGCCGTGGGATTTTTCATTCTTAATAGAGTCTAAGTGATGTAGTGATTCATTACGAGGTAAAGTAGTTCACAGTAACAGTTACCTAGAAGAAAGATACAGCCAGAATTACGGGGGTATTCTGACATTCATAATCAGAAGTATTCTAATTCTGAAACATATGAGAGCATATAGCGGTGTTTTACAAAGATTCTCTTGTGTATGCAACTAACCATTGAGATCTTCCCAGATGATTTTGCGCTTGAAAAGAGCAATGCACTGGCTACAAGATAATCTCTGGAGTATGACTCAATCCTGAATATAATTCCCACAAAAAGAAACAAAATTAGGATCATACTTGAGAGTTTCACGTGAGACTAAATTCTGTAATAAAAGAGATTTTTGTGATGCAAAAAATGCAGGTGAAATTGTAAATCAGAATAAAAGTGTCGGCTTCCTCGTGCCCTTTTAGTATTCATGGTTAGTTGTTGCCCATTTGATGATAAACACGGTTGATTAGAAAGTCCTTACCCTCATTTGGAGCAATAAACAATGGCAGACCTTGCAAAGATTCACATACTAGAAGTATTTAAGCTGATACATGGAATGTCCAATGTTGCTGAATGCGTGAGAATTATAAGAAATACACCCCTCCCCCTCCTTTACTGTAAAATTGGATTTTTTTTTCATTTTAACTGTACACTCCCTTCACTGTAAAGTTTGGCAAATTCGTCCCATATATATTGAATGACTAAACATAAACAGGGTAGCCCGATCGGGGATTTTGGTTGTCAAAGCTTTGGAGGAGAGAAGTCCAAGTGTGGGAACTGCTATGGAATGTATTGAGGGGAGGGGATGTACAGATGTAGCAATACACATAGATGAGAAAAATTGATTCACAACTTATGGGACCTTATCGTTTAACCCAGCCCAACCAAAAACCTATTTAACAAGACCACACCTAGACAAACACTTCGATAACATGACATGGGAAAGCTCCACTTAACACTGTAATCAAAGGAATCATTTCTGAAGAGTTAATGATAGCACTAAACAACCTAAGAAGTACATATTTCCGAACGTGATCTGAAAAAATCGCAAAACCAATATTTAGCTTCTGAGTGGCCCAACATGACCACTACAAAGTAGGTTAACAAGGCGATGATGTATGACTTCTGAGTCTGAGTATCATAATTTTTAAATGGAAAGATGGTTGTATCGGTAATCTTTTTTACAACTAAAGTTATCGTAACATTTGCTAAATTTTTAACTTTTTCAAAATGGCCGTGAACGCACGCTTTTGCTCTGGATCGCTTACTTACAGCATATTGGGAAACGGGTAGTTCCAGTATTTTTATCGTCCCGATGTCAAGGGTTCAATTTTTACTTAGCTTTAAAAGAGTTTCTTTGCTACATTTATTCAGATTTCTAATTGTTTTACTGATTGAACATATAACATACGTAACTTAAAAACTGATTGAACTATTTCTCATTTTTCTAGGGCTACTTGTGCATATCTAGAGGGACGGCGGCCGTTCTTAACCTCAACTGCGGCATCCTGCTTCTACCCATGTGCCGAGGGTCGATCTCAGTCCTGAGAGGGTTAACGCCTTGGGTAAGTCCTAGTGAAGGTATTCAATTTCATACACTGATTTGGACAACAATTGGGATGTAATAGAGATGTTTTAATTGAATTTATATAATTACTATATCAAAAATATTCTTAATTATTATATTAATAAAAGCGTTTTATTTAAAAATCAAAATCAATAATGATGTTGAACTGAATTGCACTAATTTTATATTTGTATTATAAAATGTAACTATTAATATAAAATGTGTCCCATAAGCCCAGGTAGGGCTGGCTATTTTAGATAGGTGACATTTAAATAAATGAATGAATAAATAAAAATGACTTAGAACCGTGGGTTCCTCGAAACATCAAAAATAAACGAGAGTGCTTTTCTTGTAGATAGGGAGACGAACCATGGTATCGCTTCTTGACAAGAGTAAAGGGTTCCACATCACGTGTGGCATTATCGTGTTCATCGCGTCTGCCTTTCATACGTTCGGCCACCTGTTCAACGCCTTGCAATTCTCCAAGTACTACAGCAAAGTCTACGTGGATTTGAACGCTGCAAAATATCCACATCAGGATCCTCTTCTTATTGTCGTCACTACAGGTAGGTACCTTTTACAGTCTAATGCATGACTCTAATGCAAAACGTCCCTTTTGTCTTTTCAAATTATTTAAAACGTTTTCTCAAATCTGACTACGTGTACATGCTTCAATGAAATTTACAGGGTGTCCCGAAAGTATGGGGCCCCCCCTAGGCTGACATACACCAATGTTCCCATAGTATATGTCATATATCATTTTTAAGCTTATCCAAAGTTACATTGATTTGCCAAGTATTATCGTTCAACTTACAAATGAGAAAAAGTTACAGGCATTTCAAAACTTAGTGTTTGGCCAAAATTAAAGTTAATATCAGTATCCTGGAAGCTTCCTGGTCAACTCAACCCCAAGTCAACTCAACCCAAGTCAACTCAACCCTTAGTCAAGTCAACCCCAAGTCAAGTCGACCCTTAGTCAAGTCGACCCTTAGTCATCTCGACCCTTAGTCAACTCGACCCCAAGTCATCTCAACCCTTGGTCAACTCAACCCTTAGTCAAACACCGCTAACCTGAATGTGACCAAAAATATGGGTGCTATCGTCAAAGAGAGGATGGATATTGAGTTGTAAAAAGAGGTCGGTAAGGGCAGATACTCCAAGGAAACGTTTCTAAAATGCCTTAAAAAAGTTTTATGAGGATTATAAAATGCCATTACCCTATTTGAAGTGCATTTAAGGTCATATCTGAAAAGAAATGCTGCTGTTAACATGGCCAAGGGAGACACGCCGACTATTAATTTTGTGTAAAACTAAACTTTAATTTTGGTAAAACACTACATTTTGAAATGGGTGTAACTTTTTCCCGTTTGAGAGTTGAACCATGATACTTGGCAAATCAATGTAACTTTGGACAAGCTTTAAAATGATATATGACACATACTATGGGGACATTGGTGTATGTCTGCCTAGGGGGGGACCCATACTTTCGGGACACCCTGTATACGCATGCGCGCAGATACATTAGTAGAAGCAAATGACTTGCGATAAAATCCTTACTACATGTACCTGTAGCTCGAATAAAGAAAACGGACCCAATGAAACAGAATCGGCCTTTGGAAAATGCCTAAATATTTGAAAAATAGCCCAAAATGGGATTTAAAACATTTTTGGTCCCATTGTCAATTTCTATTTCTTTATTTCAGTTCCTGGTCTAACGGGGATCATTATGATTCTACTATTGGTGCTAATTATGACATCTTCTACTATAGCCATGAGGTAGGAGCATATCTGTACCACACATCCACGATAAATAATTAAAACAATTTAATGCTGAAAATTTTTAGTTTCAGCATATAGCAGATTAGTAGTAAGACCATATCCTAGTTTAGTTTCAATTCCTCTAGTTTTTTAACAACTCAAGAGTAAATTAACGTGAAAATCAAGAAGACTGAAGGGCTTAGGGCCTGGACGCCAGGCTAATTCGAAGTAATCAATGAACGTTTTTGTTTAATTGCTCTTTCAATAAAAATAAATAAGAGGTCGGTTCTGACTATTCTCACTTGTTTAAATCCCAGGAGGAATCTGCTTCTGATTTTTCATTCATATTTCTTTTCCAAAAAGTGGGCATGTCACTGGTCAGTAATCAAGAGACATTGATGTCAGTTTTCTTTCAAAAAGACAGACGAACATCGACGATTTGAACCATTTCGTTTCCTTCGATTTAAACCACTTTTAATTGGGTTTTGAATTACGTCCATATCGAGATTATGTTTTATTTTCTCGATATGGCAGGAATTTCAAAGTCAAACGTAACCTCTTGGGGAAGTGGTTTGAATCGGATTAACTCCCACAGATATCGACACAGTAGAATAAACTGTATTTTATTTTAAAGAATGTACAGCTGTAACAAAATTAGAGTACATTTTTATTGTTTTTAAAGATTGGACAGCTATCAAGACGTATCAATATACATGTATAGTGAATAGTCAAAGTGAATAGTCGGTGTAAGTTTATGGATCATAATATGATAAAATGGATCATGGGTCGCTTCATAAGAGTCAATGTGGGTTTTAAGTAATAATATAAAGCATTCATACTACGGCCCTCGGCCATTATTTCACCTAACAGTCAGTACTCATGGTTTATGTTTATGTTTATGTTTACAACGGGAAACAAAACTTCAGTCAATGTACCTTGATATTGACTTTATTTCAGCATTCTCTCTTCAATATTTTAATATGATGCTAAAATAAACATTTCAAACATTTATTTTAGGATGGCGAACTATGATCTGTTTTACTACGCACATAGGATTTTCTTTGTGCTCTTTTACGCTCTGCTATTGGCACACGCCATCAGGTACTATATTATTTTATTTTTAGTGTATTTATCCCAATTTTAATAACTCGAGAGCACTGTCCAAAAATAAAAAAACAACCCTATTTTGTATTATGTAAATTCATCTCTCCTGGCATTTTTCAAAGGTGAGTCTTTTTGCGGATACTATAAGTGGTCTTTAATCTGAGTAGTTAACTTACCAAATGGTCACATTTTATAATTTTCCTTATGGATAACATTCAGGCAAAAATAGGCAATAGGCAAATTAAATAATTAGGCATAATTCCACTTATACAGTATGTTTAAATGAAAACCGAGAAATGATGATCTATTCTAATCCCATGCAGTATATGTTCAACAGGGGTATCCTGAAAAAACAGATGAACACAAACATGCATACGCCAGGTTGTAGCGCACTGAACGAAACGGTTCCATTTCCCGAACCAGAAGTGCCTTTTCCAGAACCAGAACATATGGACAATTCTTCTATGAAATGTGACGAAAAGCCTATGTTTGACACACACGGTACAGAGGTAATGAATGCCGTTAGATTTGTCCTTAGAGTTACCATAAGTACCAAAGATGACCATTTGGATCCAAACATGTTCTCTTTTCAAACGTTCTTTACAATCCCTATTTGCATCATCATCTATATGACCCCAAGTGTGTACGACCAACAAGCTGATTTAGGTCATTTTGTTTGAATATGGGAGCTCGGACAATATATACAAATACTAGTAATTGAGTGTAAAAGAGAATATTATCACATATAGAATATTTGCATTGTACTGGCAATGTATTGGCATACATCTGACCCAAACTATCAAAGATTGAATTACTTAATATCACTTCTAGAACCCATGGCACCATCTATTAATAGTGTATCATCCTTGTTGACGTTTTCAGACATGGATGTGGTTATGTGGACCAATACTTGTATATGTAGCTGACACGATATACAGATATATTCGACAGAAACGTGAGAAAACTGTGGTTATAGATATAAAACAACATGTGCACGAGCTGTTAGAATTAACCGTCAGGAAGCTGGGCTTTAAATCCAGACCTGGCCAGGTAAGATTGATTAATCAAAAAATGAATAGAATCGTTGAAAAAGTACCAATCAAATAAAAATCCGATTGTAGCTACATTTTATCATGTATATGCATTTAACATTGAGAAATTTGTTGTTCAGAACTGCAATTCAAGGACTCATTATTAATTTTCGGCAAATATTTTTCATACCCATATTTTGGACGTCTAATTAACAATTTTTAAAGAAAATATTTTCTAATGTTCTCTTTTATATGTATAGTCTAATTTCATTTTTATTTGTAGTATGTGTTAGTAAACTGCAGAAATATATCAGGATTAGAATGGCATCCTTATACAATTACCTCAGTAAGTAAACACAATAACAATTAGTAATTAATCACAACTTTAGAAATTGATTTAAATTTTTCGCAACTCCAGTTTTCAGTTTAACTCTCATTTGAGCGCTCAAGCCGAAACACATGAAAATCAGTGTTAAGTATTCCTCAACATTTATCAGGCAGCTCCAATTTTAAAAACTAAATGCAGGTGTACACAGAGTAGCAGAGTAAGTTTCATTTCTCTCAATAATCCTGGATTTTTATTTTTATACGATTTATACATAAGATTACTTCTCCAAAAATGATACAAATCATTTCAGGTTAAAGAGGAACAAAATACATTTACCCTACATATAAAAACTACAGGGGACTGGTCTGGTGAGTCGTTTAAATGTTTACAAAATTCCTCAATTTCAATCACGTTGATAAACCTGAGTAGCTGACAATGTTAAATAAGTAAAATGCTGTGATACTTTCTAATGATTCTTTTGTTTTTTCCTACGAAATGTAAAGAATGTTTTATTTTCCAGGACGATTGAAAGATCATCTTCTGAGACGCAACATTGATAAAGAATACATCCCACTTCATAGAAGCATAAGACCTATCAACTTGAACATAGATGGACCCTTCGGGAGTCCATGTGAAGACATTTTGAAATACAAGATTAGTATATGTGTGGCTGGGGGTATAGGAATTACACCATTTATAGCATTATTAAATTATTTAAGGTAAAACATGTAAATTACGGAGAAAATTCGTATTGTAGACATATTGCTTTTATTGTAATAATACAGTGTTTAAGTTGTCGAAAAATTAAATAAAAAGAACAAATGGCATAATATCGATCCTTGAAGGACACCAGTCAATAATCCAATGATTAATCAAATGCAACTTTTTGAAAGAAAAGTGTATTTAAGAGATTGAGTTTAGATCATTAATATAAATATATACAAATATATGAACCAAAGATAATTGTTATAAAGGAAAGGTCTCATTCATCCAATGTATCGGACGTCATCCCTATATCTAAATAACACAAGTTTTTATTTTTGCAAAACTAGTACGGGGAGCTATAATTGGAGAATCTCTTTTTAGAAAACAGTGTTCCACTACAAAACTAGAGCGTTTACACCTAATATGGTTGTGCCGAGATGCAGGGTGTTTTCTCTGGTTCCAAGACACTTTACTCGCAGTTCATAAAAAGGTATTTACTAGACAGATTTTTGTTCAAAAGAGAAAATGTTAAGCATTAAACAAAATAACCCCATTAAGCATAACATAAAATGCTTGCTTATCACGTCTTATTATATATTTCAGTTTTGGTCGATGAATAGGCCAGACTTTCTTGAGATCCACCTACATTGTACCTCAAATATTCTTCCTAAAATACTCGTAAGTAGATTAGTAATGCTAAATATGTACTGTTTAAAAAACTTGTCGATAGCATATTATTCATATTTAATTATAAGTGCATTATCCGAGGTCTGGGGATATTATATGACATAATTAACAAATATTGCCTTTAAGTCCATCAGAAAAACACAAATAGACAAAACACAAAACGAACCATTACAAACTAACATAAAATCAATACAAAACGGGACCCATTTGTTATTCCAGGACTCTGTTGAAAGCATGGACGAGTTCATGATAAGTCGATTAAATATTGGTCGTCCAGATTGGAGACGCGCAATATCAGCAGTTTTGAACCGTCATGAAAAGTAAGAAAGTTTTAAATCGAATTTAAAGAAGTCGTTTTAAGTAAGCTTGCTTATGAGATACTGGGTCTGACATACATGAAACTATAACCATAACTATACGATCGTATATATTATTTCATATTTTTTTCTTTTCAGGACCGACATTGGTGTGTTTTGTTGTGGTCCCAAGGTATTGACTAAGGACATACACAGGGTATGCTCGAAACTCTCAATCAATAAAAATAAATTATATTGCTACCACGAGTCATTCTAGACAGTGTGTAATACACGTTCATCATTTACATTAACAAACAACAAGGTATTCTAAACAAACAATATGCGACTTGGTATTATGAAGCCTTGTCGATAGTACGTATGAGATGCTCATCCATCCTTAAGATGCTATCATATAGAAACATTGAAATACCCTTGGGTCAGGCACTCATCGTACAACGTGTGCAACGAGGCGGGCGTTCGTACAAGAGAAAAGGACACTGCTGATGTTCAACGATTCCTTCCAGACTACTGCATAACACATATCCTATATGAACGAAGAATTGTTCAGATGCTATTTTTGATACATGTAGTACTATCATGAACACATTTCTAGGTAGCATGGAAGATGCCGTATTGGTTGCATTTGGTTGTGTGCAACATATTATTTTTGTGATTTTGGACAGTGTAACAATGAAAATACTAAATAGTGAAGCATGCGATTTGACTTTGAACTTAATTGAAAGTTGTAGTTGATGAAATATGTCATTCTGAACAGAACAGTGAAAATACTTTAAATACTGATACATGTAATCCTGAACAATTATCCTGAATGGCACAGTGAAACTACTATGTCCTGATACATGAAATTACTAAGTTTGAAACATGTGATTCTGAACAATTATCCTAAACGGAACACTGAAATTACTGAAGTGCTGAAACATGCGATTCTGAACAATTATCTTGAACCGAACACTGAAATTACTAAGTGCTGAAACATGTGATTCTGAACAATTATCCTGAACCGAACAATGAAATTACTAATGCTGAAACATGTGATTCTGAACAATTATCCTGAACCGAACACTGAAATTACTCAGTGCTGAAACATGTGATTCTGAACAATTATCATGAACGGAACACTGAATTTACTAAGTGCTGAAACATGTGATTCTGAACAATTATCCTAAACGGAACACTGAAATTACTAAGTGCTGAAACATTGTGATTCTGAACAATTATCCTGAACGGAACACTGAAATTACTAAGTGCGGAAACAAGTGAATCTGAACAATAGTGAAAATATTTAAGTGCAGCATTTATGTCATTCATAGAGCTCACGATACAGATAAGTAAAGTTGATCAAATTATAAAAAAATTGTCGAAAATTTTGTACAGAATAATGACGGGTGTAATAATATCTGACATTGCGATATTACTGTAACTCATGCTGATACAGTTTTAAGTATGATATACACATATGAACATATCAAGAGTCATCATTTATATTTATAATCTGAATATAATAAATAATATATAATTTATTGAGTGAGTCAATTGAACAATTCATCTTCTGTCTTTATGTGATATACTTTATTTCACCCATTTTTCCTTTTCCAATACGTGGTATAATGTGAGACGGACATTATAGGAATATCCTATTGTTTCGAATATATATCATTTACATCCTTGAGTGAATTGCGATTTGAAATTCAATTGATATCAATGAGTGGATATAATTGATATTTTTCAAAACCATTGAAGTGTTAGTTTATCCCATGAGAGATATTTACCCAGCGAGCATTGAATTTCAAATCATTGAAAAAATCGTCAAAAAATTGAAACCATCGAATATCACTTTTGAAACCATCAAATCTCACTTTTTATGAGATATTTTCACAGATTGCACGATACTGATGTGTGAACATAACGTGTCGGGACATTTTCTAAATCATCACCCCCACGATAAGTTTTTGGCAAACATCTTTGACTTAAACATGACTTAAACATGAACATTGATAATGTGACCCTTTTAAGTGGTCACACTACCATTTTGGTACAACGATTCTGGAGTAATGGCGGGTGGTTGTACTTCTGAATCATTGGATGATTTTTGGGAAGTTTAGCTGTGGACATAAGTGCCATGAGCTACTCAAGATTACTTGAAAATTGAGAAAAAATATAGGAGGTTTTTGCATCTCATATATTCATTCTATTAAACTGCATGATGATGTGTGTTAGATTTCCATGTTTGATAATGTCATCATTATGAAAACAATATCCGTTCATGATACAACTGATAAAGTCAGAACTGTTCAGTATAACATAATATGACAATCAAAATATTTTTTATTTCAATATCTTTACAAGAAACCATTCCCATAGTTTGTACATTAAAATGCTTCTCAATTTTTATAAACCCTCAGTTATACTCAAGTATATGGACAATTTACTAGAAAGTAAACACATTTTTACATAGTTTAGGGTCTATGTGACAAAAAAACTGATTATAAGCAATGTGCTCGAATGTTAAGGACGGATGCATTGCTCATAAACTCCTCTCCAAAAGTTTGGCATCAGATTACATGTTAAAGCCCCTTTATGTTTGAATTTTTCTTTCCGCAACCTGAAACGAAGAATTGCTTTTAGGTCTAGAAATATTAATTGATATCATTTCTAATACCTGAATTTTTAACAATTACAAAATAGGTCGGGGATTATGACAGATGATGACTGATAACATTCCTATGTAATCCAATGGGATAGGATGAGTTTGTCGCAAGTCATACACAATGTATGACAGAATGTCCATGCATCTGAGTTCTCGCAAAAATACAAGTTAGTGGACAATTGAATTTGCTAACATTATACTTTTTAGACAATAATTGATTTGTTTCTTCAGGTTCAACAAAGTTATAAGTTTCCAAAGTCAAAATTATTTATTAGAAACCTCTCCCATTAAAATTACACAAGAGGCAAACAATGATTTAAAAAAATATTTTGCAGCTCTGTGAAAAAGTTAGAGAATTCATATTTTTATACTAATTTTTTTTAGCGAATCTTTTGCCGAATAGATATCCTATACTAAAATCTAAATTCCCGATTTCACCATTTCGTATTGGTTTATAATGATGATTTTTCAAAATTCATCAAACTTGGCATCAATTTTCGAAATAAAGTCAAGTTACTTCTTCGTTTTTATCATGAGTATTATCAGGGTATGTAAAATTCAAACATGAAGAGGCTTTAACCCATAGTCCAATGGAGGAGCTAAGGTTGCCAAACTATTGAAGGGAAGTTTATGTATCGATTTTTGTCCAATACTCAATAAGTTATTAAACGTTCGTGATCCTTGAATTAAAGTTCTATTGCACAGTCCCATTGATGCACTTGCTTGTGTCAAATGAACGGAGTGGTACCTTAACAAATATTATGACGATTTTGGACATATGGCTAAAATCAGCTCTATAATTCCAATCCCAATGATTTAAGCTGTTTGGATACATTTTCAATGAGTTTATCTTTAAATCTGAGCATCGTGTCATCAGCAATCTGTTCCTCCATCATCCGGGCACATTCACCTGGTTTTCCTAGATATTTATCAAAATGACATTTCTTGTAATGTTGGTTCATCGCCAAATCTACGTTAACATCAACTGTATGGCCATTTGTGTCGTGACCCTTTGTCCGCACCCAACAAAAATGATTATGCATAACTACACATGCCTGTGGGTCAATGATTGACTTCACTGAATAACCTGGACCACTTGGAGGAAGCCGGACTCTATGTCGTAAGGTTGCTAGTTTTTTAGGCATGTCCGTGTCTTCTGGCATCTGTGGATCCATGAAGAAATAATCATTCCGAAACATGTATGAAAGAGCCTTGTGCTCACTAGGCTGTCTGTTGTTAATTTCATCTAACATAGATTTATAGTCAAGGGTTGTCCGAGGTACTATCATTTCGTCCAAATCGGTGACAACAACCTTATTGTATTTATGCATGTTCCTGTAGAGACAATCACAGATAACTGGCGACATGGTAAGAAGTATAGACATTTCTCCAGGATCCGGTACAAATTGTGGAGCTTGCCTAAAATCGACAAAGCCTTCTTTTTGGTAATGTAGAAAAACCTTCGCCGATTCGTCCTCTATACTACTGTTATATATGGTTACCTTGTTGACTCCCCACAGTTTATGAAGCTCCATCCACTCAACTACCCTGTATGGATCAACTTTCCAAAATGTTACTGAAACGCAATTTATGAAATCTTGTTTGGTTTCAGGTTTTTCAGGAACCTGAACAGTCATATATGTGGACGGTTCGGGCAGTTTTACATCTGTCTCTTCTAGTTCGATAGAGATTGCTTTGGGGATATCTTTACTTGTTTGTAATTTGCAGGTATAAATATGCTCCCGGAAGTATTTTCCATGTCGGTTATTTCCAGCACCTAAATGTAAAATTTCTGCAACTTCGACGAATGGATCTGTTGATACGTCATACCAGATATAACAATACACCTTTCTTTGTTCTACTTGGGATTCAGACACTGCGATAACTCGGATGACGGGATTGGTTAAAAGAGAAGGACGGTCATCATAGTACGCCGAGTATAAGTACATCTCCACTGAGGCATTCACGACCTGCCACACTCCATTGAATTCCTTCACATTGATCTTCAATGATCTGATATCATTCCCTTCCCGAACTTGCTCTAGTGTTGCAGGGTCCTGTGACAGCATCTTGTCGTTCAGCGTCAGCGTCGCCCTCGGTATGATATACATCAGTGCTAGCATCGATAGAAAACCACCAAGAAATATCAAAACCCTCAGCCTTTTCTGAAACAAAAAGGCAAAATGAAATTAAAATATATCTTCTCATAATTCATATCAGCTGTACCATGAGGCTCACAGCCTATCAATATAAACATGATTTTTGTAATTATGTTTACATTTATTATTATTTCTCATTTTTATTACCCCAAATCGTGATACGCACATCCTATATTGCATTTTCATATTCGCATTTAATGGCGGAGTGGTGTGATTGTGACATATAGAGACTAGAGAGTCAAAGTTAGCGTTGTCACAACCGCAGTATTCACACAAGGGCAACAGCTGTCAAATATTTTCCTTAGAGAGAAAACATGAACTTTTGCAACCAATTGTATTAATTTCTATATACTCTGGGAGCGATAAATGCTGTATAGTTGTTTTGGCGGCATTTTCAGTTAGGAGTCTTGGATGAAACTTCCATCTAGGTGATAGCTTCGCAGAGTGGTAGGAAGTTCTCCCCCCCCAAAAAAAAAGCACGCCATTCATTTGCGGTATAACTGATGCTGATCACTCCTTAAAGAATTTGAATATTAGTACAAAGTGTGTACCACAGGGGGCAAATTCGTGACACATTTTCTTACTATTTAGATCCTAACTTTTCAATTAGACACTGTAAGAAGGCTAGTAAACCCTGGAAGATACAAAGCCATTAGAAATGTAGGAGCTGAAAATTTTGACATTTTTGACAGGTCGATTTTGTGTATGACTATAGCTTGCTATAGTTTCTAGACCCATCCTTCTATGATGTATGGTTTTGTAGTGTTGAACTAAGACGTAAAATATGATTTAGATGGATTTTAAGGAAGTTTTGAACAAGTCCAAAATTTAAAAAATTGTAAATATTAGGTTTCAAATTTATGAATTTCAGGTATAGCCAAGGATGACCCTAATGGTTTTTATACCTGTACCTCAATGATGAAATATATCGTTTTAGACTGTGGAAGATGTAAAAGAGAACTAAGTTTTTAGAAAATTAAAGGTTTTAAACAAGTTCAAAATTTGAAAAATTTAGAAATAACAGTTCTCACCAATTTATGTAAAGCTTTGGATAGGCCCTGATAGTCGAAGTTTATGAACATAATAGTATCAACTATGATTTCATAGCTTAGAGACAGGTGTAGAAGATATTTGTGTTACAGCAGTTAATCGAAAAATCTGTCTCGTCCGAATGCCATTGGGACAGGCTAAAAGCGTTCAAATCAGGTGTTCAATTTTGTAGGAAATATGTGCTATTTGGTGAAAAGTGTTCAGATTAGACAGGTTAAGTATGAAGGTTCACTGTTCGATTTAGGAGGTGTTCAGATTTCAAATTTTTTTAACATGGGAGTCAAATGGAGGAAAAAATGGGACTGGGAAAAGTGTTCAGATTGGTAGGTGTTCAGAATAGTCAGGTGATGGGATGATTAGTAGGTGTTCAGATTTGCCAGGTGATGGAATGATTGGTAGGTGTTCAGATTAGCCAGGTGATGGGATGATTGGTAGGTGTTCAGATTAGTCAGGTGATGGGATGATTGGTAGGTGTTCAGATTAGCCAGGTGTTGGGATATACATATTTCACTGTTGATATATCAGTTATACAAGATGATTAACTAGAATTACCAGGTATAGATAGTTTATCCTATGATTTTACTTAAAGGAACTATATGTGTATTATCGGCAAAATGAAGTTTTACTTTTGATTTTCATAGTATTTCCAATGGATAAGTACCCGATCTTTCATTTGATACCAAAAACACCTCAAACAGACCACATCAGAGTTGACAGAGATGAATTTGATAATCTATAGTAACAATATGTAAGAGGAGATAATCATTGCTTGAATTGCAACAAAATGAAGAAATCATGTTTCTCTTAATTAACTGTGTCTTTTTGTATTTTGACAATGTAGAACATTACATCTGACATGTTGATATGAAAAAGTAAAAATGCTATAACACATAATAAATGTCTCCAAATGGTACTTTTAAATTAGTTATAGTTTTGTATTGTATTGTATATCTTTATTGCCCATAATAAAATGGAGATGCAACAATACAATAAATTGCAAAGTACAATTTATGGCAAAAGTTAATATAGATATAAGACATGAAAAGCTATTCATCGAGCAAAATGCTCGTGCTGTTCAACCGTTCTTTATATTGTTTGAAAATAATTTGTGTTATCTCATCTAAGAGAACAATTGCAATTGGATCTGGCATAACATTTTTCCAAAATTGTGCTTATTAAAACATTTCTTAAGTTCTTGCCTGTAAATGGAGTACTGTGCGGTATAACAATGAATTAAGATGTTAGTTTAACCGTTTCTAACTGAAATGAGTTAATTACATATAGGTTACATCGTTTAGACTAATTGATTAATCAATTTCTACACTGTACACCGTACTACATGTCTCGCTCTTTACATTGATTTTGCTAATTAATAAAAAGGTAGTTAGTAGGCCCCATAGATAAACTTTGCATAAAATTATTCTTAAATCCCTAGGAGCAGCTACACACTGGGGTGGGGGGGGGGTTAGGTTTAAGTCTTAAATTCATCTTTGGTTTCTTTCACACCTTAGTCCCTTTAGGGTCATCCTTGGCTATACCTGAAATTCGTCAATTTGAAACCTAATATTTACAACTTTTTAACTCTTGGACTTATTTAAAACCTTAAACTTCCTTAGTTAAGTTTCATCTCGGGTATGTTTTACATCTTAGTTCCACACTCGAAAACTACATATTTCACCATAGAGGTATGGATGTAAAAACATAAGGGTCATCCATGGCAATACCTGAAGTTCGTAAATTTGAAACCTTATATTTACAATTTTTCAAATTTTGGGCTTGTTTAAAACCTTAAACTTCCTTAAAACCCAATCTAATTTATGTTTTACATCTTAATTACTCACTACAAAATAACTTTATACCACTCTGCGAACGTATCAACTAGGTGGAAGTTTCATCCAAGACGTCCCCCTAACTAAAAATGCTGCCAAACTAAAGTTAGATTTTTATTCCTTGCTCCTTGAGTAACATGAGTAAACGAAACATGCATCCGACTGTGAAATGATGGATTAATTTCCAACAGATGAAAATTAACGTATTTAAACAAAAGATGTTAACAATAAAATTTACAAATTAATATTTTTATTAGATACAATATAAGCATTGTACTCATCCTACCTGTTCGTGTTGCTTCATAGTTATCGCAATGTTTTCATCGTTATTGTAATGTTCATATATATCTCTCTTTGTACTGATCAGATTAAATACTGGAAATGGGATATTCTATTGTTCGAGCACAGGGTGATCAGAAAATATAGAAACTTTAGTGTTATTTCGATGACTCTATTACCCATACATCATGTACCACACTCATTATACACATTATATTATTCACCTATGCCTAGGTCATGTTTGCTCCAATTCATCGACCGGGGCCTGGCCGATTGCAGTATTTTGTTCAAAACTGTTATCCCACCGAACGAAGTCGAGGGGATACAGGAAAGCCGTCCGTTCGTCCGTCCGTCCGATCGTCCGTCTGTCCGGGCAATAACTCAAATACCGATTGACAGATTTGATTTTATAGGCTTATGCCTTATTGGTGTGGGACCTCTGCTCTAGAAGGAAGTTTTAATATGGCCGCTCAATTCAAAATGGCCGCCATTTTCGTAAAGAAATGTGATCTATGATAACTCAATTTCTAGTGGACGGATTTGGTTCCAATTTTTCTTTTATTCAAAAAGAAATTTTCAAGATGGCTGCTGATTTTCAAAATGGCCGCCATTTTTCGCAAGAAAACGTTCTAAAATACCAGTAAACGGATTTCAACCAAATTTTATATGCGAATGCCTTGGGACACAGTTGCTCTGTTCGAGAAAACATTTTCAAAAATTGCAAAATGCCCGCCATTTTGTCGTTAAAACGAAATATTTGATAACTAAAAATATAACTTGAATGTATTTAGTTCAAATTTTATATGCTGAAGCCAAGGGACACTGTTGCTCTGTTCAATCAAGGTACTCTGAGAATCAATCTTCAAGATGGCATCTCAATTTTAAAATGGCCGCCACTTTTCCCCAATAAACATAATCTTTCATAACTCAAATAGCACTTAACGGATTTGGTTCAAATTTTATATGCTGGTGCTTAGGAATATAGTAGCCCTGTTCGAGAAAGAATTTTCAAGATGACAGCTGAATTTCAAAATGGCTGCCATTTTTTGTAAAAAAAACTTGTACCAGTGAACGAATTTGGTTCAAACTTTATATGCTGCTGACAAAGGAGAAGGAATTTACAAGTTGGCCACTAATTATCAAAATGTGTTTTGTTCGGTGGGATTTGCTACTCCGTGGAGTTGCTGTTTTACTAGTTTCAACTTGCTTCAAATTGACCAAACTTTTTTTAAATCATGTACAAGTTCTCGGGAGTTCATATCTGACCTCAAATTTGAGGTTTTTAAAAAAGAATTTATTTCAAAGAAAAAACATGTTAAAGCAACTGCAAAAAACAATTACAATACAGTTACATGGTAAACATCAGTTTACAATTTTACAATACAGTATTGGTTAAACGTTAGTCTTCAAGAAATTTGATACCATTGGCATTTTTTTTATTATTTAAAGGAGAAAATCATTAGTATCATTTGTTTAGTTTTGCTTCCATGATTTTCCACTTTTCACCTCTGCCAACCCGTTTGTCCATAATAACCTTTGAGATTTCTTTGAAAAACTAAGAAATAAACATGACATATCGAATTTTTCAAAACAGAAAAATATGTATATAGCAAGGCCTACAGGTCCGATTCCCCCTAGTAGCATTAACATTGGTTTCGTGTATGTCTATCATCAATATCTGAAACACAGCTATTATTGAAACTTATGATCGGATATAAGTATGATTTGTACCTCAAGGTAATAAAGTAATATCATATTAATGTTGAATCATGTTAACGTATATGTTCTTCTTTCCCTTTCTTCATATTCAATATTTGGTTACATCTATAACTATAATGACTAATACCGTATGTTGGAGGAGAAATAAATGTATTTGAAATTTTTGAAATAAATTGGCACTTTGGATCACCCTGTATAACTGCTCTTGAATTAAAATGCAACTGAATTATACATATATGTATATTAATATATAGTTGTGAGTGTGAAACAAAGGCAGATTCCATAGAGCAGAGAAAACTGGATACCAAATTAACGAGAAGGTCTGAAACCCTTATTTCCGCCAGTGTTCATTTTGGTTACCGCAATTTCAAAATACAAAACATCATCTTTACACAATTTTAACTTACCTTGATATTGTCGTTTTTCTGATTCATGATCTAAGCTGTAACTTTAATATCCGCATACAACATGTGCTATTGCAGCATTTGCAAAATAGAACTTCTCATTCATCATATGTTTTACAAAACCAGGAAATCCGCTGAGTTTCATAAACCATCGAATATCATAACGCACAGTTCTAAATACATGTATATTGTGTAGTAGAAGTAATCCTTTAAAACGAATCTAACATTTTATCAACTCTGATTTCTTATCACTTGTGAAGTGCATTTGGATTGTGAAACGTCATGTAATTTTCATACAATGTACAATTACAAGGTAAATTTGCAAAATAAAAAGCAAAAAATACGAGCTGATAACTCAATGAGAGCAAAATACAAGCATATTGTAGATTGTGCTGAATTACAGATGAATTCAATCAAGAAGTTAAACATTAGCTAGGTTCAAAGTCTAACGTTCTGACAAGGAGGATTGGCTCCCAGGATCGAAACTCGATATTTTCCAACAATGAAAACGTCGAAATGTCGTTATTTTCTGAAATTAAAACCGACTATAAATTCAAAATAAACAGTTCAAAAGATTCGAACCAATATCTCGATCATTTCTTGTGAGTTTTGGAATTTTTCGTTTGGAAATAAGACCAAAATTCACGATTTAAATGTTGAAGTGAACAAAATGGCGGCTGTTTGAATTCGAATTTTGTATTACGACATACCCATATATGGGACAGAATATCGGTGGTGCACTCTGGGAGCCAATCCTCCTTGACGTTCTGATTTAGTTATCACGAAATAAATTAATAGATAACCTAAGCGTCCGTTCACATGATTGAAGAATGAAATTGAATACATTGGATTTTGTAGAATATTGATATTTTGATAAGAAAATAATTACTCATATGATTTAATTTTATTCTGTGATATTTGGTTTGTTTCTCTGTTGACATTTTATATATTATATTAGACAGTCATGGCAACTCAATAAAAATACAATTGTATTCCTATGCAGATCATAAGAAAATTAAATGTCGTCCGGTACTCCGCCACAAAAAATGAATATACCGTTTGAAAGTACTGACTTTTTTGCTTTTTACAACATAACTTTTTCCATGTATGATATCAATTGATTTTGATAAAAATTAAATACTTTTGTTTAAAAAGTGAATATAGAATTGTGTGGAAAATGTCAATGACATGGTGCAATGTCTGCAATAGTAAAAAAATAGTACCATGGGTATTGGGCTGGCATGATGGCAAGTGCTTAAAGATCACTGCTGTACCTTTGTTTAGACTTAAGATTGGAAGTGTATTACTGTAACCTTTATAATGAGGTACATGAAGTATAATTTCAAGCAAATTGATGAAATATTTTACGGATTATGATCAATAAGGGCCAAAACAAGATAAGTGGGGCAATTTGAAATTTTACGAGATATTCCGCAAAAGCCATTATTGTGTTAACCTTTACAATTACCTGCCGGTATATATACTTTCAAGTAAATCAATGCAAAACTATAGGATTTACAGCACAAAATTTGATATTTTGACAATAAAAGCGGTGGCCATTTTGAATCTTGCAACATATTTTACCAAAACACGTACACGTTATTGTCAATCTGTATAATCTATAAGGTACCTGTACAATTGAGGAGCTTTTGAGACACTACTTTCTGGAGAATTGAAAGTTTTATATAGACACATTTCAAAAGTAAAACATTGCAATTGTTTTGGGAGAATTTAAATAAGCCACCAATGTGTAGACAGATAGACGAACAGACAGTGGATGGGAAGTTACGACTTCACCATCGTGAATTGGTTTAAGAGAAAAACATTGTTGAATTCAGTTCTCCATATCGATACCCCTCGTTTAAATCGTAAATAAAATAAGACTTGTGGCAAAATGAAAGTGATTAATTATTTTACAAACTCATAATGATGCATATGGTATCTTTTAAAATCAATAGTGCATTTTCAGAAGTGTATTTTTGGGAATACATTTACAATTACAAAAAAATTATAGTACAGTATAAGGTGATATTTCATTTCTTATTACTTCATAGAGAGTATGAAATGAAGACAAATGAAAATATGTATTTAATATATTTAATTTATTTTAATATGTATTTTTGTAAATTACTATGATTACCCAAATTAGGTAAATATACCTTAATGTTACGTAATTACTACAAAATGATGTTTGCACATTCGTTTTGATCTGGCAATGTTGAATTGTGTTCATGAGATTATATAAAAAGCAGGATATTCTCCTGTATGAGAATTAGTTTTTTAGAATAAATTAAAATCGATTACCCTGGAAATTATTAGTCACTTGTATTGACGGTATATACTCTTTTATGACCAATATATTTTATGGTGCTGAGTTTTTTGTCTCACGTGGACAAACTTGTGAAAAAAGAAATGCCAACTTGACATTAAAAGATAATCTCGTAACATTGGTAATTGTGAATCTAAAAATGCTATAAATGAACAAGAATATAATTGCTCTACGAAACTCATAGGACGCCCCAAGAAGGTGTCATGAATTTTATTCGATAGCTATTTTATATACGTCAATTTCGTAAGACAGGGTAATATGTCGTTTATGGAAATGGGAATTTTTTACTAGTCCTGAAAACACAATTGAATTTACAATATCATAAGTCATGATATTTCTAGAAACGGCCCCCAGGAATTATTGAATGGCAAGTAAATTCCTGGCGAAATTGTTAGCATATAATATGCGATTCTTTATATCATCCAGGAAAATGGATCAAAGGTGTAAAAATGCTGTTCTTTGCCATCCTTCATTCAAAGGGCTTCATTTATTTCTCAATCCAGATAGAATGAAGTGAAAGACCATTTGACCAAGGATATTTCTTTATACTTCAGTAGTACTTTCAAAACAGGTAACATACAATGACTAGGAATATGATCGTATTTCAGTGAAATTGAAAAATATATGATATATTCTCGAACAGCAAATTACTGGTATAATAACATGCACGTTGATGCCCGTTTTTTAAATGCCATTGATTTTCCTTTGAATATTTAACGGCGTAAAACAAAGAGTATTTCTACCTCATCTAGTTGAAACAATTTAACCCCAAATTATGTTAGTTGCAATTAAATTAATTGTGGTTTTGAACAACTGGCTTTCCCCGGGAAAGGTTTGTAGTTAAAATAAGTAATGAATCTTTTATTCCCGAATATTTCTCAAAAAATTTGATCTCACATACAACGGACGACGGTTTTCAGAAAGAACAGTCTGATGAAATAAGTCTAGCTGCAAGCCCTTATGAGCCTTCCCCTCAATCTACAAGTGTTGTGTTGGTGAAGTAGATCGTCTTGGAGCAACACTACTCTAGTTAAAATATACCTTTAAGTTTATCAACTCAGTGTGCGTGGGTTGTGTTAGTCATATCAACATATTTCTTTAGACAATTTAACAATATACGTATCACTCACACATCTATTTGGGGAAGTTTTCCCTAGAACTGAGGAAGTAAAAAGTCATCATCACAATTGTATTATCACATGACTCTAATTCAACCTGGTAATTCGTGGAATCCTGGGTACAGCACCTCCTTCAATCCCAGCATTTTCGATCGTTGATCGAATCCTCGAATCGTATCATTTGTTGAATGTTTTCTGTTATCTTAAATATAAAATCAGCTTCCTTTTTGAAGGTTCTCTTAGTAAACATGGAAGATTTCAAAGTATTGTTTAGAAAATATAAAGTTTAAAAAGATGGGAGCGAGAAACCTCCCTTAATTGTTATGACCAATGTTCTTGGGATGGTTCAAGAATGTATCGTGTTAGGCTTGTTCTCGTGAAATGCAGAGGTGGGTCATAACATCACATTCACAGAATATAAGCGGATTGTGAACGATGGGTTTACTCAGAACTCCATTGCATTCGGATCGAACAAGGTGCAATCTCTTCTCTCTACTAGTCTACAGGAATAGACAGCGCAGGTTACCATAGCAGTCGGTTCAGTACACGATTAAAGAGTAAGTTGCGTTTTTTGTTTGCTTGTTTCGGATTCCGCTAGCATTGCTTATTTATAAGTCCTCGGTTTAGTAATAGTTAGCATGTGTAAATGGTCTAAGCTTTGTTATTCATGAATGTTAGTGTTGGACCTCGACCTGCAAATTGCTTTGGACAATGAAAAATACAGTTTACTACCAGTATAATGACTAATATGTATATTTCTTGAAAATTTCGTTGCAATTTCTAATCCAGATATTTTATAAAATGATTTCTAAGAAAATAATTCAAAGAAGGTCAATGTTTAAAAATAGTTGACTTAGAACGCATAGTTAACATTGATCATGTCGGAATGATAAATAAATAATGAAATAAAATATAACATGTATACGTTTCAAATACTGCCCTTTTAGATTTCTCATTATACAGAACATCATTACTCATTATGATGTCTCACCAGCATTTGTTTTATCACTTATATTCTCTTCTTCAGCCACTATGCCCCAATACTACGTGATACGCAGCCGTTTGAATGGGCTTGTGCTGGACATTGCAAGGAGCAATCGTGAACCCGGTGCAGCTGTAATCCTATGGCCCGAGACTAACAATGACAATCAACTTTGGTACCTTGACAACGGGAAGATCAAGAGCAAATTGAACGACCTCGTTTTGGATATCAAAGGAGGTTGCTCTTGTCCAGGTACCCCAGTCATCATGTGGCATGGCGAGTGTGGGAAATCGTGGCAACAGTGGCACGTAGAATGTGATGGGACAATCAAAAGTGAACTCTGTGGACTTGTGCTTGACGTAAAGCAGAGTAACAGGGAGCACGGTGCAGAATTGATAGCTTATTGTCACCATGGTGGATGCAACCAACAGTGGGATCTTCTACCGCGAGGTTCAGGTGGCTGCCACTGCTAACTTGTATCTAGAACTATAGTAACGGATGACGTGTACCGGTAGTATGTAACTGGACTAAAGAACTTTATCATTATCTATATACATGTATACTGTATCTATTTTGATACTCGCAACACTGGCGGATCCAGGGGGAGGGGCCCATGGTGCTCCCCCCTTATGTGGACCCAGAATTTTCTAGGGCCCTCAAAATGGGCCTTTTGGGCATAATTTGGCATTTTGAGGCCTTTTTAGGCCAAATTACCAAAAATGGGCATTATATTTTCTAAATTTGGCCCAGTTATTGGTTTTGGGTGACCACAATCTTTTCCTGACTCAAAATTCGGGCCCTCCCTTAGCTTCTGGATCCGCCAGTGCCGTACATATTGACAAATTTTGCTGGAAGAAATATGGCATAATAAAAAAATATTGACTATACATATTGTCTATATAAAGTCTATACTGATCATAAAACTGCTTATAGATTTTTGATAATTGAAAATCAAAATGTTGCTTTTTACAACGATCGTGATTTAGTATACATTTTATAGAAAAGTATGTTTGTGTTTTTGTATTATGTTTCGATTGTTTCTTTGCAATAAACAGGTATAGGCTTTAAGTGAGCTGCAAGTAATCCTCGATTGCGAAAATATCTTAATCTGTTAGCAAATAGTGCAAGACAATATAAGATTGTATGTAAAAAATAAAATACTGAAAATATAAAAGCTGTTATATAGTGCTTTTCTTTAGACCTTAAAGGTGGTATATCACATTAGTCTGTAGATCAGATTTAGCGAGCAACCTTGCCAAAGTTTGTTTCATTTTACAATTTTTTGTCTCATATCATCCCTTGCCATGTCTACAGTATAATCTAAGAATACCCTAAGTGCAGCATACTTTATTTGAGCGGGAAAACTCAAAGAAGACTTTTCCCCATGTTGGTCTGCTTTTTCCGTCATTATCCGTCACCTTAATTTGGAGTATCTAATATGAAAACAACACTTTAAACAATAGACTTCAATTTAAACCTCGCCGCAATCATGTCAATATCAGAGGCATTCATTCTTGCAGGAATTTCTAATAATATTTCATATTTATACTGATGTGCTCGTATTGCATTAAAATGATGTTTTCGAAATGTATAACCATATCACTATTAAAGTGCCTCATGGTGTGATCCTGAGTCACTATCCTTTAGAATAGAGAGCTTTAGATACAAATAGAATCTGATGCATCAGAATGCACAGCGCCCCGATAATAAAATTGTATTGAAAATGTCTTTTTCATTCTTGTATAGATGTCAGGGCTAGTGTTCTACACAAATGTCCACAAGTTGTCCATGAGTCGACTACATGGACTATGCGACCAATAGTCTACACTGTGTTTCCTGATCAACTTGATATAGGTGGATAGTTTATAGAATGACATATTATGAATGCTTTATATGTGTCGTAGGAGTGTGATATATCGACCACTTTTGATATGTTACCGCTTTCTTTATATAAGATCAAGTGGTTTGTAGGGTTCATGGAATATGATATTCTGGCATCGAGAGTCTCTGGTTCTCACCCAAATATCTGCTATTTTCTCGCCCAGAAGGGTGTATCATTATGCAAGGGGTATATAAGGGCGTGATGCAATCACCAATATTCATTCAAAATATATCATTCAAAAACCAATATACTACTTAATGGTAGATTATGATTTGGGATAGTTGGGGATTGTTTTACATATGACTGGCGTGCATTTAGATGTTTTCTTGCTGTGTTTGATGTAACATTATCGGCTACACACTGATGGGTAAATGTTTATAGCCTTCGAATCAAAAGGTTTTCCTGGTGGATTCTTGTGTCATTCTCGATGTTTCAAGGAATTAAAGTTGAAAAGTCTCCGACTACACCAAACTGCCAAATAACAATGCAAACTAATAACAATATTGAAAGAGATAATTGCTAAAAACGAGTGCACTGGTGATCCACTCGATTACGCTGGTATTAACAAAATGTCGGAACATCGAAGGTACGATTTTTCTTTTTTCCTTATTTCACACATTGTAGGCAGAATTCCCACGACATTTTTTATCACAAACGTGTATCAGTATCATATGTTTAAGAAAATGTAATTATTTGCGAACAAATACTTCAGAAGACAACAGAATCGTCGATTTAATTCCTCACTGAAGTTCCTTAAACGTTATTTCGAAAAACAGTTAAGATCTGCACTTTTAACCCAAACCGTTTATGTAACTTAAGTGAGGAATTAAATCGACGATTATGTTGTCTTCTGAGCTATTTTTTCGCAAACATGTACATTTTTTCGCAAACATGTACATTTTCTAAAACATATGATGCTGAAATAAGGAAAAAAGAAAAATTTTACCTTTGACGTTCCGACATTTTGTTACCGTTTCGGTTACCAGCGTAATCGAGCGGATCACCAGTGAATGGTTAACAGTGCCATACAGCACTGGTTTTGGAAACGTTGCTCGATCAGTGCTGTTATTAATACATCCTTAAAACACTGCTTGATTAACAACAATGTTGATTGAGACTAGCAGCATCCCTAAATATAATACACAGAGCCTGTTGCACATGGAATCATCATGAGCAGTAAATTGGTACAAATAAACAGAAATTGTCTTCGAAATTGGCCATAATATATTCTCGTATAATGCATTATATTTGTACAATTTTTCTTTGCAATTATTGGCATAAAATATCATGACTTTCATAAATTCATTTACACATTTCCTTTAACATCTTCGACTTCCAAGGAGTTAGTTTGAGCAACTGAAAACTTGCGAATCAAGATGTTTTTTTAAGTTACATACGTACAGTAATCTTACAACCATCACTCTCTTGTTAAACTGGTAATACGTTTAGAGCTCGACATTAGCACTGGTGATCCACTCGATTACGCTGGTTACCAAAACGAACCGTTTTGGTAACAAAATGTCGGAACGTCGAAGGCACGATTTTGCTTTTGTCCTTATTTCACACGTTGTAGGCAGAATCCCCACGACGTTTTTTCTCACAACGTGCATCAGTATCATATGTTTTAGAAAATGTACATGTTTGCGAAAAAATAGCTCAGAAGACAACAGAATCGTCGATTTACTTCCTCACTTAAGTTACATAAACGGTTTTTCGAAAAACAGTTAAGATCTGCACTTTTAACCCAAACCGTTTATGTAACTTAAGTGAGGAAGTAAATCGACGATTCTGTTGTATTCTGAACTATTTGTTCGCAAATATGTACAATTTCTTAAACATATGATACTGATACACGTTTGTGTTAAAAAATGTCGTGGGAATTCTGCCTACAACGTGTAAAATAAGGAAACGAGAAAAATCGTACCTTCGATGTTCCGACATTTTGTTACCAAAACAAACCGTTTTGGTAACCAGCGTAATCGAGTGGATCACCAGTGATTAGGCTATACACCAAATTCGTTTGCACATCAAATATTTTAACATGTTGGATCTTATAGATCAAGCACCAAATCAAAATAACCGCTTTAACGAGATTGAACAATCCTCTATCCCAGTTACTCTCTCACTGTGGCCCCATGCACTACCGTACGTTAAACTGGTACTTAGTATGTTTTAACTTTAGGCTTGGGGACGGGGTCCTGTGACTAAACAAATAATTTAGAACTCATATTTGTAACAAAAACGGTTCAATAAGTTGAGACCACAAACTTTAGAACAAAAGTACCAGTTTAACAGGAGTACCAGTGTCACTGTGGAGAGATAGTGTTGGGTGATCTGATGCCAAATTATTATTCAGGCTCAAGTACTCTCATCTGTTAGATTTTTAACAGCTATGTTACTATATCGTTTTTTGATAGTCACAGTCTTGGGCCCACATGGAGTTTCATGTTCAGTGTATTTAGGCTTAATCTCGATGTCTCTCGCCGTAAGCACATTCCCAGCATCATTTCTGTCTAATTTGGTTATGTGTTCAAATCCACATGGCTGAGATATTTCAGCTTTCTTGGGAAGCTTAGGTTTGGTTTTCTTTTGCTTACCCTTTTCTTTTCGCTTCTTTTTAAATCCACTAAGATTAAGAATTGGGTCATCTGGATCAGATGTAATGTCCTTAATGATTCGGTAAAAGTCTGCGGCACCGGAAGTGGTTTCAAAACTAAGGCCAGCAAGTTTAGAATGATCATTTGAATTGTGCATCGTATGAAATGAAGGATATGGTGCCTTGTAATTGGTCAAATGGTTCATGACGTCTTTCCATAAAATAAAGCCAGATCCTTTTTCAGATAGCACTATGGTCAATGACCTCGTCCGTCGGCTTTCCCCACTGTCGAGAATAACGACGGGGATGCCACTTTTATGAAATTCCCATGTGTCCACATCCCTGGTGTTATCAACATTTTTAGGGTCAAGTTTTCCAAAGTACAAGCTCGCAAGACAAGGGCATACATGGACTTCAGATTTGTGACTTTTATAAAACATTTCTACTTGCATAACATCATGATCTGTAACTTCTTCAAATGGCTCGAATACATTGTCTGACATTGTTGATTCTGTAACAGCTTCAGATATTGCAGATTCGCGATCAATATCAACGCCCTTATTAAGGATGTTCTCTCGTTTGTTCACTTGTTCATCAATGTTAACACTAGATGTTTCAATAGATGGCGTTGGTGGGCAAACGTTATTCTCTACGAATCCTGTTTTTAATGTATACGAATCATATTTTTTGCTAATACGTCGCAAAGCCTCCTTTTCTCTATCTATAGCTTTATGGATCGCAGCGTCCTTTGGTGACACTGTCACCGAACTATAAATAGGGTCATCTTTACGTATGGGTTTCTTAGGAGTCTTCATACTAGCAGAGCTGAGTCTATGTGGCGATTTGGTTACTATTGGTACTACTTCTACCTTGGGAGTAGTGTCCTTTTTGGGAGATCCAAGCCTGATCAACCCAAGTGCATTGGGCGTCTCTTTTTCTGGCGTTACATGTCTTTTGGGAACGTCATAATGCAACGTAGAGACCTCTGAAGTATTGTCGATTATATCAGTTTTCCTTAGAACTGCTACATCTGTCCTGTCAATTTGTGTATCATTTGTAGTAGTATTGTCCGTGCATGTTGATGAGTTAAGAGATTCTATGGATCCTTCAATGGCACTATCTCTATTAGATGTGTCGTCTTTAATATCCGTATCATTATGACTATCAATTGAAGTGTCCATTTCACTAGTGTTCACTGAGTCATTTACACTGATGTCGATCCTTGACGTTATCTCTTTGATATCAAATCTTAAATCACTGTTTATTTCAGCTAGGAGATCGCTGTTATCAGCTGAGCTATCCAAGGCGCTTATATCATTGTTCAGTTCAGATATATCACTCCTAAGGCCTTCAATGAGTTCATTAGGAGGAGGTGGTGGTGGGAACATTTCATTATCCCCGTCAACATTTTCAAAACTTAATCTTTCTAATTCCTCTTCGATTCGTGATAACCTCCAGTTTTGAGTCTCAGTAGTAGCAGCCATGTTGAGAATAAAATGAGAACAAGTAATTCTAGGATCTTTTTATAATGTATTATCCACGCTAAATATAGCTATGTGTCAGGGAGTCATGTTCCACCACAACAACGTTAAAATCCCACGACTGGAAATGATAAACACGTCACAGTGACAAGTGCCTCAGGAACAGAGGAGCACCACTATCCACAGAGAATGTTTCCCTGATTTATATCTGCCCACGTTTTTTACGATCAAAAAGGTTATCTTCGACTTTTACACTGTTAATGGGTGTAACGTCGAAATGTCAAAAACACCGAAGAACTCGATAGCTGAATCCAACTTGCTTCGAATACGTTTTGATTCTGGTTCTATGATAGATCACGTGATTTCTCGAACCAATCAGGTTATTTGATCTTGAAATGTGATGTGCTCCAGATGTAAGTTATCATGGGATTGTTGAACTTTCTCACAAAAAAAGTCTGTTTGTTTCTAAAATATTTATCTTGCTTCGAGTCTACTACATTAACCCAGAAGTTCGACCTTAGGTTGTTTTTAAAGCAGATAAAATACAACACAGACTGAACGACTATCTATTGGTTACCCTTCGCTGGCACAGAATCAGGGTGTGTGTTAGATAGTGGTTATATTTTTATCTGTTTATTTCACTTGATTTTTTCCAGACCCACTTGTTCCTGTATATCCACTTGGTTTATGGGAGTCTAGACCAACCTCCAATGCCAAATAAATCAATATATTTTTAATTCTATGATCTAAGTATCTAACGTACTCTCTAAAATGTTAATGTCACTTAAAAGTAGTACATTACAGACGTTTCATATCCATATTTTTAATAGTCACTAGTAAGTCTGTTTTGTTTTAACAGTGTGTGTTAGTCATTTGTAAAACTCCATGTATAAGTAAACGTTCGTGTTTGGCATGACCTAACAATCCAACCAAAACATGTTTCCAAAATAACTAATATAGTAGCTGTAATAATCCAAAGATATAAGTCCGAGTATCATATATTACATACGTATTCCTATCTATCATTAAATAATCCGATGTATCTTTTATTTTGTGATCAGTTTTTTTAATCAGTTCATCTACGACGCAGATATGTTGCCGGGAAATGGCGTTGTGTTAATGTTATGCTGCGTAAAACTCTTCACAAAACAAGTGATGATTTATCACTGCACTGAAATTCCTTTCTTCTGAATAGAGTTTTGATCGTGAATAGCTAGGTTTTTTCTACCAGTTTTTAACTCAGTAGGTACCGATGTACTAAACGTTGCTCAATCACTGTTGTCGAGCATATGTTCGCTCTGTTTTCGTTTCTTAAAATAGAGCAATTACCTTATCCTAGATTGTGTATAGCTGAGCCACAACATAGAACTGAATGTAACTAGGATAAGTCTGGTAAGGTCATTTGCGATTAAGCCTCATTAACCCGATACTAATAGATATACCCTTTGATAAACTCCTGTCGGTTCTGCCCAGTCCTGAATTTATCCGATGTGGATGCTGAGAGGTATCCAAGATGTCTGAACGTTTAGGAAATTCACAATCCGAAAACAGACAGTACCTGGTTTATGTCCATGCTGTTGATTCGTTCGATAATGTAATCATTACTTATGATTCACATACAGTGTTAGTCTAATTGTCGATATGATGTTTTGTTTTTCCAATATGTTCCGACTTGTGGTTTTCCGCGCAGTAACTAACTCATGCCCTGTCAGTCCAGTTCAGATGTATCCAATTATTAGATCTACGCATAAGGATGCTTCCCGCATCCACTGGCCTTCAATTACAGAACTCAGAAGGAAATTGGGAAAATCAATGTCTCAAATCCCTAATGATTTCAGGCTAAACACTTGTAGAAGCTATGTCATCCAAGGATACTGAGAAAACGAGGTTTTTGCATAAATCTCCCGGTTTCATCCACTTCTTTGTTGAGCTAGTCTATAGCGATGGTTGGTTTTATATTATGATGCTCTGTATACTGTAATCATTGTGAAGCACTTCAACTCAATACTGCCACTTCACTTTACAGATCAGAATGATTCACTGATATCCAGATAGACGATAAGGTTAAGTTACTTATCTCCAAGAAAGAGTCCTGACTTCAATACAACACTAGATAAGTTCCCTCTGGTAAGGTTATCACTTACGCATACACTTAAGAAAGTAATTAAAGTCCGTTGTTACGAGTCGAGTGATTCAAACGCTGAAGAGTAACATAGCTTTGTGTCTAGGTCATTCTATGGACTGTCACGAACGCGGGATACCTCTGCGGTTTCGTTGCCCAGTGAGAGTTATAGATCAATCTCAGTCAGTTTCACATGCGCGCGCAACCTGTAAAATATAAAAGAACATGTGTGAATTTTATGTTATTTATATATTTTCTGACACTTATTTACATTGTTGATTTGTATGGTGTATAGAGTACTTGAATTGCTCATAAGTTTTCATACTTTGAAAGTAATTAGACGCAAAATCATGGCGTCCTCTGAATCAGTTTATGAAATTGAAAAATTGATCCCAATAAATTACAGCTATCATATATCACCAGTTACTATAACCTGTAGCTAACCGACCCATTAAATCGTTTTGAAAAGTACAACCTACAATTTTTTGTTGCTGACGATAATTGGGTTTGAAATATAGGTTGAACAAAATACTGCATTTGTCCTCGTGAGGTTGAAACGTTAACGGGGCGATTAAAATTCCATTTCCAAAACAAGTGGTTTTGTTTATACTAAATTTGGCGCTACACCCACAAACATACTTCCCAAATCTCTCAAAGAACCAATTAAGGCTATAAGGACTCCGGTAAGGTGACCGACATCAATTCATGAAGAATAGCAAAGTATTTTGGGGTCATTTTCAAGTAAATCTTCACTCAACTCATTCTCCAAACGCAGGGCGGCAGATATCATTCAAGGAGAAGGAAGGAACAGAGTGAATGATATCTGCCCTCATTTTCGAAGAATACCCTGTTGGTCAAAACAAGAAATCTTTCATTGTTTACAATCTGATTAACATATCAGAGTCCTTCTTCGTCTTAATTTGTATCTTGTGCTCCACTGATTGAACAACCCACAGTGAAAATCGTTCGTCTTGTAGAACTAGACTTTCTTCTACACATGAAAGAGACAAAATGGTATCAGCGCTTGGCGTTGTGTTTCTCAGGGGTCTACTACATAACCAAATGCAACATCGGGGCTGTTGTTTATATCTCAATGATGATGGATGGGTTGCACATTAGTTTGTTTCCTAAGAGGGTTTATTTAGCTTATGGAGAAAGTCTTAGATTCGATGAAGAGTTACAAAATGGTTGTTGCATGACTGAACATCAAAACCTTGTGTACATTGTGAAATTACCTCTGCAGCAAGAGACATTTTTACAGGAGCTGAGATTATTGAAGATGGCATAAAATCAATGAAGGTTTCTTCGCATAGACACTCATGGCTTCCAGATTACAGATTCGATTTGAAACTATCATGGCAAACGTGACATAATCACGGAAGGTCAATTGCAAAACCCAAAAAACTAATCCCAAAAGCTTTTCATGATTTTTACAGCTATCACGCTATTAATAATCGTTTTACATCTTGGCTTGCCTTCAATTTTTATAAGAAAAGAAACGAGTGTTATGTTTTATCGTTCGTACCATTCGAGAACACTCTCACGCAATGTTAACTAGATCAATTGATTTGAATCAAAACATATTACAAAAACATTAACGATTTCTGCAACGTTCACTTGCTATCGTGATCACACAAAATCGTTTTCTTTTTTATCACGTTACTGAGTTCACTGCTATCTTGTGGAAATTTTGTATATGTAAATGAAAGAGGAAATAAAAAATGTATATGATAATCAAAATCCACTGAATTCTCCTCTAACACTTTCTCATTGTACCCAAGTGGCCTTAGAATAACTAAAGACGACTGATTTCTATTTTCCTCATTATCCACTTAGGTGGCACGCTCCCTACTATCTGGCAATCTACCTTTGTGGCCATTCATCCCCTCTGAGGCATGGTCCGGCATAAGATACACATCATCTTAATTGATTACGCTAACCTCTCTTGTTGATAATGAACGATAATGTTTACATAGAAGCTAGTCGGGTTAATTAATCAAGAGGGTCAGCTATGACTGAAGCTGATTGAATCTAGAAAACCCCAGATGAACGGGTCGTGAACTTTTTCCATTATGTACTTGGATATAACTTACATCAAAAATTGAATGGTTCAGTCACTAACAGGTCACATTATCGACAGAATTCATTCATTGATTGAATTCATCATTATTCTTTGAGAAAATTGTTATCTTTAATTTAATTTATAATCATTCCATATCTAGATTCGTCACTTTTTTCAATTCAAATATTCGGCATTACTTATTTAGGACAACATCATTGTTTAATGAAACTCATCATTTTTATTTAAAATCATCATCATCATTATTCCTCTATCTAATGTATTTTTGAAATTATTTTTTAGATTTTAGTTCGGTATATCTTAAACCACAACGACCATCAATTACGTTTATATCTCTTTCTACGCAATTTAACCATAAATGGTAACCTAACATTTTTTTACACAACTGAATTCATTTGATAACGTCACGTATCGTCCTGTACTTTCTAGAACATTGGACGACAATATCCAGCTGGATGACGTCTTAGGCTAGTTTTTATTTTCACATCGTTTTTTGTAAACAACCGAAATACTGAAAATGTTTTTGTTTATTTCAATTACTCCTTACTCCTTACTAAGTTGTATCAATGCTGGAGGTCTGTTTTTCAATTAATATGTGTGACACCGATACTCAAGCTATTATTCAGAGAAGGAAGTATGGGTGTTTGAATTGATTGAGTAAAAAACTGTAAATACCTCCATTTAAAGCACCATGGACATGATCTTACAAATGGGTTCAATGGCTTTTAAAATCGAGGACAAGAACCAACGACGAATACATGGATGCATACGGCTGAGTATTGAGGGTCAGATCCAAGTACATCAGGCCCGTAGCCAAAATTTGCCAAGGGGGGGGGGGTACTACCCTTTTGACAATGCTCAGAATTGTGAAAAACTGCATGATTTTGAAATAATTTTTAGCCAAGGGGGGTTGACATGTAGACGAAGTTCTCTTTTAATGAATCAAAATCAAAATATTGGAAAGAGTAGTAAATCCACTCCCTAGAAAAGTTAAGAGATTTTAATATTGATAGAAGAGAATGAGACAATGGTTCCTAAAGTAATCTTGAACAAAAACCATTCAGTTATTCGCACAAGTCTTAATAATTTTATCTCGCATTGTATTAATGGTAGTTCTCCTCTTATGACTCCAATAACGTCTTTCTTTTTTCATTTCTTCTTTATCAGATTTAGAATGATATATGGCTTAGTCATGTACATTACAAGGACTTTATGCACCATTATCGTTTCTTTTTCGGGGTAAAGTACTAATTATCGAAATAGCCCCCTAACTAAAACTACTAACGATCCTCGTGCCAAATGTATAGGCATTAGCATGCAAAATGTCACCACCTGCCATTTGTTACAGAAGCCAAACATCGACCACCAAACACCGTCCAAAAAACAGTTTGAGGCTATAACAATTATATGTCATCACTTAAAACAGAGGAAAATGATTCATATATGTACAATGATATCAAAGACAGATATGTTTCACATATGGATAAATCATTAGTCATTATACATGTGGTCAATAGGTCTGCTAAATACACCCCGAGAAACACTGTCATTATACTTATATAATGTTGTAATCATCAACGTATTCAATAATACCTGGCATGTGTGGCTAGCTAAGTCATACTCATAAAAATATGAAAAATATGACAAGAAGATCTGTCTACATTTTCGATTGCTTCTTTTGAGAATCAGAAAATAACAACACCTTATCCTGGCTGTTTCGCCGGTGTACTCACAAAGTTTTGTATACTGATGATGTATTCGATAATCTCGATGAAAGAAATCATAGATCTTTAGCTCCTATGAAATTACAAAATTTCAGAATGCCACTCAGAGTAGAAGTCATCTTGCAAACAAAACATTCAAAACTCATCCAAAAGTTCTTTCTGGATAAGCTATCGGATAAATAATATCGCTTTGACCCACTTTGACCCACAAAACGTCACCACTCAAGGTCACATTCCAATTTCTACCCCAATTACTCAGATGCGAGTAGGTTGTTACCAGTTTCGCCACCAGGTGGCTGATTTGGGGGAATTAACATGGCAGGGTATTACAAAATTCCCTTAAACCCGAACATGCATCAGTTTTAGTGGTTCACTTTTCATATTACCCTTATGTATCTGATAGTTATACAAATTAAAATATGTCCAGTAAAAGAAAATATTATCGGCCCAACACAAGAAAAAATATTCACTTTTTGTGGTTTTACAACATGGGATCTATGAGGAATCTCCCCGACCTACATGTAGAAGTCACATTTTCAAAGAAAATTAAATTTTCAAAGTTGATTAACTCTTTTCAAAACCACATTTCTGAATGTAATTTTACATGTAGATTCCAAATATGTCATCAGTTTGACTAAATTGTGAATTTTTAATGACGTAAATCAAGATTATTTCTACTCGCATCTGGGATATTCCCCCAGGAGATCACCATTTCTAATAGCTATAGTTTGTTTTCAACTCTCTAAAAGAGAGCGTCATCTACTTTAACTTGATTTGTTAGTTCTCGGCTCTGATCCTCGGCGAATACATCTGTAACAGAGAATCACCTATAGTAATGGTAATCGCAACTAGCATCTGTAACTAAGCGGTCTACAACATTGTTCTAAGAGTGATGTATCCTGAGATTATCACTATGCCGTATTAGGGGGATTATATCAACACATTGATAACACAAAATAGATAACCCCAGGTATGGGATCATCAGCCAATGATGACGGTCACGGCAAACCTAGTCTCAACAAATATAGCCACTAAAAATATGGAAAACAGGTGAATGAGAATTCTATCTCACCCCAAGCTAAGTTTGAAGTAACATAAATGTTACTCCATTGATCACCTGCCGGGGATGAAAATAAACACACACCGGAAAATAAGTTAGCATGATGTGTTCTCTTGGGTCGGTGTGACCTCGTTTATCATCTGACATATACCATGTACCAGTATAGCATCACCTAAAGCCAACTAAATGTAGAATGTAGATACGTCGCCAAATTTGATAATTTTTAAGTAGGCTCCTTAACAACATTGATGAACATCACGAACAGGCACAGTTTACAAAGTATTCTGATCACAAACCTTAATGTAGTAATCAGTTCGTGTTGATCTCTATACCGTGCGGATA